ATTTTTTTGGGGGGGGGGGGTATAAGCGCCTGGAATAAGGTTTCAAACGATTCCGAGGACTTGTCTGAAATTAAATTAGTATGGTAGTGAGAGGACAAAAGGTTTGTATAGAGTTCTGTGGAAAAATAATTGGTACTCTTTTCCTTATAGAGATCTTAATTTTTAAAATGTTAAGTGAATTTAAGGTCAAGAAGAATGATATTTTGCTCTTTATTTGACGACACACCGAGAGGAAATACACATGTATATATATATATATATAAAAAAAGAAAAAAGATTTGTTTTTGGTGTGTTGAGATTTGAGAGGAGTTATGTCCTTTGTTAAAAGGGGGGATGAGAAGAATGTAGATATTAGCATATATAGGCGCCGGAACCGGGGGGGGGGGGGGGGCTAGGGGGGTTTAGCCCCCCAACTTTTTTTCCAAACATTACTTAGTCTAGACATTGAACATTGTTTCTTAGGTTTAGCCCCTCCCCCTCCCACTTTCAACAGTTACGTCGCAGTATAGGTTAAAAATGGGGAAACTGGTGGTGTTTAGCAAAAAATTAGGTACCAAATAAGTTCGTCGAACCTAACCCCCCCCCCCCCCCCCCACGACACGAAATAGAATTTTCGTGATTAGACCATTTTCTTTCTTTTTTTTTTTTTGCTTGTCAGGTTTTTTTGATGGAATGTTTTTTTTTTATCACTTAGCCCCCCCCCACCTTTCAATTTGCTTCCGACGTCAATGATAAGTATAGCGTGTTGCATTTGATAATGTCCGAGGAAGCAAGTAAGGTAACAATGTGCATCAGATTGCTCTTAATATGATAAATATTTGTAGTGTATTGCATCGTTTGAAACTTTAATCCAAGCGCTTATAAAAAAATCCCTCCAAAATATGGGGTCCATGGCGTTTATAGGTCAAAATTGCAGTTGATAAATATTAACTTATAGATACCGGCAGTAAATAACACTCTGCCCCCCCCCCCCAAAAAAATAGCCCCCACTCCTACAATCTCCCCTGGTATTTCTATATTTCTGTTATATTCCTACATTCCATAAAAAAAACCGCTCTTACAATCTCCCTGGTATTTATATATTTCTGTAATATTCATACATTCCCTCATTTATTTCAAACATTAATATTTTTACTTTTAAAAATAAAAAAAAAACATTACATACATGTTCCTCATTCAAACCAATCAGGTAATGCCTTCCTAATCAGCACTCCACTCTCTCATTCCTATTACGGTTAGCCGCCATTTTTGAGCAAGTAAACTAAAAAAACTACCGTAGAAGTCCAGATTTGAATAGATAGTTTCTAATAAACCGACAGAATATGAAACAATACAACCACAGCATATAATTATGAACCCACAGCATATAATAACAAAACCACAGCATATAATAATAGATCCACAGCATATAATTATAGACCCACAGCATATAATTATAAACCCACAGCATATAATTATAAACCCACAGCATATATTTTGTAATTATAAAACCACAGCATATAATAATAGATCCACAGCATATAATAATAGATCCACAGCATATAATAATACATCCACAGCATATAATAATGGATCCACAGCATATAATAATAGACCCACAGCATATAATTATGGAACCACAGCATATAATTATAGACCCACAGCATATAATAATGGACCCACAGCATATAATTATAGAACCACAGCATATAATAATGAAACCACAGCATATAATAACAAACCCACAGCATATAATTATAAACCCACAGCATATAATTATAAACCCACAGCATATAATATAATCATCTAACATAAGGCAGCCATGGCGTTCCATATCAAAACATGATATTTCCTTGTTGTTGTTCGTCGTTATAAATAAACACCTCTCTGCATATCTGTTTGTCTGTGTAGAAAGGGGAAAGTCAGTATTGTCAGAGTCAGTTATAAACGTTGTGACTTGCCACATGTTCCATACATCAACTAATGCATGCATTTTCGTTTATCACATTTTATGCCCCCTCCCTCTCCCGGACCGAAAGATACCGGGGGTTTATTGTTTTTGTCCTATCTGTAAGTCTGCTTGTCTGTCTGTTTGTCTCTTTGTCTGTCTGTTGTCAACTTTAACCTAGCCCATAACTTTTGAGTGGGTGTGGCTATGGCTTTCATATTTCACAGGTGTATTCCTTGTGAAAAGACCTTTCATGGGAACTACCACATGTGACCTCTTGACCTTGGAGTTTGATATACTTTTACAAAAAATACCACAGTTTAACCTTGGCCATAACTTTTGAACAGTTGGAGCAGGTTTTTCATTGTTCACATGTGTATTCATTGTGACAAGACCTTTCAGCTGGTATAAATATTTTTGACCTTGACCTAAGAGTTTGACCCACTTTTTAAAAAAAACTTTAACCGTGGTCATAAATTTTGAACAAATGGAAATAGGGCTTTCATATTTCACAGGTGTATTCCTTGTAACAAGAGTCTTACAAGACCTATCTGCGGGTACCAATACTTTTTACCTTGACCTTTGGAGTTTGACATGCATTTAAGAGAATCTAACCCTTGCCATAGGCTGTCATACGGGGCATCAGTGTTTCAAAAACACATCTTGTTCTTTCATGCATATAAAGTAACCCTGCATTATGTCTAGTTACTATTATTTGATTTAATCTACAAAAGATTAATTAAGTTCATTATTGGTTAAGTTACACAAATACAGTAAATTTTTATGCCTCCGTAAACGAAGTTTCGGGGGCATATAGTTTTTGTCGTGTCTGTCTGTCTGTCTGTCTATCTCTCTGTCTCTCTGTTTGTCTGTTTGTCCGCAAAAACTTTAACCTTGCCCATAACTTTTGATTTAGTGGAGCTATGACTTTCATATTTCATATGTGTATTCCTTGTGACAAGACCTTTCTTTGATTACCACCAAATTTGACCTTTTGACCTTGACCTTGGAGTTTGACCCACTTTTACATGAAAATTTTACTTTGGCCATATCTTTTGAACAGTAAACACCAGGACATTTATACTTCACATATATAATGTTTGTTAAAAGACCTTTCACTGGATAACAACAACTTTGACCCTTTGACCTTGACCTTGTAGATTTCTTTACTTGTGTAAAAAACTTTAACCTTGGCCATAACTTTTGAACGATAAAGGATAGGGCTTTCATACTTCATACATGTAATCCTTGTGAGAAGACCCTTCATTGGATACCAAGAACTTTGACCTTGACCTTTGAGATTGACCTACTTTAAAAAAAGCAAACCTTGACCATAACTTTTAAAGAGTTAGGGCTAGTGCTTTCATACTTTACATATTTGATCCTTATGACAAGACCTTTCATTTGATAACAATAACTTTGACCCTTTGACCTTGACCTTGGAGTTTGACCTATTTTTTAAGAAATTGAACGTTGACCATACCTTCTGAACGGTTAGGGCTAGGGCTTTCATGCTCTACAAAAGTATTTTATGTGGCAAGACCTTTCATTTGATACTAATTACATTGACCTTTTGACCTTGACCTTGGAAATTTTTGTAATTATTAAAAAACTTTAACATTAGCTTACTTTCAAATTTCACAATTGTTTTCCATTGAGAATACCCTACTTTTGGTACCAATTAATTAAATTTGCATTTAAGAAAAGCTTAATCTTTGCTATGTTGCCATAGGGGGGCATTAGTGTTTTACAAACACATCTTGTTTCTAGTGCTTCTTTCACACAAAATTCATTATATGGTAAACGGTGTGATATCAACTTTTCCATCGTCAACTTTCTTTATTGATATGCAGTTATATTTTGCTATCGCCTGCACATTTAAGTTTACGTCTCCCAAGTTATACGAATCTCAAGAGCATGCATGCTCTGCATGAGTACGATCATTTTTTTTCTTCAAAATGCAACAAGCTACTGAAAGATAAGTTGATGTTAAAAGGAAGTTCATATGGATTTTCGCGAGTATACACATTGAAGTTGAAGTGAAAAATCCTTGATCCGTGCCTTCTTCGTCGCACCTTACCATGTTTACATATATTGTATACAGTATATGGCCACACGTAAGTCATAATTCAATTGCATATTTTCACTAGATTTATTTCATTGAAAAACCAAATTTAATTATAAAAACTTGTTGTGAGGTCAAAATTCAAACTCAATTTCCGTTCACTGAATCATGCAAAATTTGTTCAAATTTTCTTGTTTTAAAATGCTTAACACAAAATGATACACTAATCACTGTGAATAAATAATGAAATTGCCAATACAAAAATTTCAAACCTCAAATTACTATGAATTACAAAATTAACAAATTAGAGTCTTAAAATTTTTTTATATTGATTACCGCAAAGTCTACAGAGTGGAAAAATAAAATTATGACTCATTTAAGGCCAAGCACTGTATGATGGCATCAAATCTTTTGATATTGTTGCAATAAACGTTGGTCAATTTCTAGATTTTTATAAATCAAAATCAAAAATATCTTAAAATTCAAAAAATAGTTCGAATTTGAAAGTTCATTAAACGACAAAGGATTTTTGAAGTACCAATTAAAAATAAATCAAATATTGAAAATATTAATTTAAAATCCCAATTAACAGCTGATTAAATACTTAAAATTGTTTTTGCCCCATCGTATTTGTGATAGCCCGTTCCGTGCCCCTAACATTGGCGTTGCTGGTGCATTAGAGTTCTATTATATAATAAGAAACTACGTCACATGGCCCTGAACTGGCTTAAATCAAAGGTTATGTAAAGTCAACATAGCGTAGTAAATAGGCCCCGCCTTCAAATTGTATTTTTATAGAAACTGGGCTGATGAATTTTTTTCATAATGCCTGTATTTTACAATTCTCATTGCATATTGTGAAAATTTATAAGTTAGCAACAAAATAAAATTGCAAGACTGTAAAAAGTCAATATGTAAACAAAACTGACCACAACATGAATGAAATAGTTGATCTAGATTAAGCGCGAAACGATTGGCTGAAAATATTTGATTGACAGGGCTCACAAAAATGGGTTACACCGCCTTCAATTGATGAAGGAACATGGCGCCGTGCATGGAGGTCCAGGATAGAGTAGACAAGAAAACTTCGCTCTCCGCCGCGATAAAATAGCAAAGCATTCACACAATCGTAAGTAGAATATGTTTCAAAGGCTTTTTATTTTGTGTTTGTTAGTTTTATTCTCTGATTACCAACTGGAAAAAATGGCGTTATTTAAATGCTATAAACATAATTTGGCAGGTTTTCAACGGACAGAAGACGGAAAAGGTACATGTATCCTCGCGATGTAGTGAGGAAGCGGGTGCCCTTAAAACCGATCTACCTCATGAACTGTTCGATATACCGCGCACATGGCCGCATATTCGGATGCGATCGCGGGAGAACAGATGGTCTGCCCACTGTGTCTCAACCAGGCAGACGATATTCGCATGTTACCATGTTTGCATTCGTTTTGTCGAAGGTGTTTGCAAAGGGCGATCACTCGGGACCACTGTCCATCTCCAACATCGGGGGAACCCAAAGACATTCTGGAGTGCCCAACTTGTGGCCAGTCAGTGACTTTGAATTCCGCTGGGGTGGACACTTTCCCTTCCAATCAATTTATATCTAATATTTTTGATGTCATGGTTCCACAGCAATCAGAATATGAAAATGGAGAAACTGAGCGTGCAATTACTGGGACTAGATGGTGTAGTTCCTGTGATGAAGGTAGCAAGGCTACGTCCGTGTGTAAAAATTGTAACGAATACTTGTGTGATCACTGTGTCAAAGCCCATCAACGTGTTAGATTAACCAAAGACCATTATATAGTACGCTTTGCCATTGAGAACATAGGCCTATCTTTCCATTCACCTCAGCCTCCCCAGCTACTCTCTCCTTCTCTTCAGTCCCCCTCCATGCAACATCAAAGCATTACAGATCGACAGAATCATCACTGTAGTAAACACGAACAAGAGGTGCTTCGTCTTTACTGCGACAGTTGTGCACAAGCAATTTGCCGTGAATGCACTATGACGGAACATGTTGGGCATAGTTTCATATACCTCCAAGATGCAATAGAAAATTCCAAAATTGTTACACAAAGATTACTTACTGATGCAAAAACGGGTATTAAAACACTAGAAGAAAGCATAGAACTCACTCAGGGAATGGCAGAACGGGTTGAAATGCGAGCACAAGGTGTGGCAACTGATGTTAGAAATATAGTTAGAAGACACATGGCTGCACTGGAGGAACGAGAGCGGGATTTGTTGCGGCGTGTGGAAAAAATTCGTCAAGTCAAAGGGAAATCACTCCATTTACAAGTGGATGACCTACGTCTTGGATTGAGTTCTCTCATGCAAACGGTGGATGAAGTGGAAAACATGATACATACGGGTAACGACTTAGACATACTGAACACTCGAGACAAAATGGTTGCTGAGATGCAAAATGTACGTAAATTGAGAGGGCACCTCCAACCACATGAAGATGATACGATATTATTCACTCCACCAGATCCAGCATTGTTTAACGCTGTCAGTAAAATGGGAATCATTACCAGCAGTGCTTATGCTCCCAACTGCTTTGCAACTGGGGATGGACTGAAAAAGGCTCTAAAAGGCAAAGGGGCATTTTTTGTTATCCATACCAAAGACCATCACGGAGATCCAAGAATTGTAGGTGGCGACCCTGTGGAATGCATTATCCAAAGTTCAGAGGGAGCTCTTTATCGAACAGATGTTATAGATCGACAGAATGGAACTTATGCTGTTACTTACCGACCACAGCTTGAGGGACAGCATATCATATCAGTAGTCATACGAGGAAAGCACATTAAAGATAGTCCCTTTGTTGTAAATGTGCGAAGTGGTCGAAATTATAGTACGATCGGAAATCTATTGCTTCAGTTTGGATCAGAAGGAGAAGCTGATGGCATGCTTTGTCGCCCGTGGGGAGTGTGTTGTGACAAAGACGGATTCATCATAGTAGCTGATCGAAGCAACAACCGCATTCAAATTTTCAAACCAGACGGCCAGTATCATCGCAAGTTTGGTTCATCTGGTACAAGGAACGGACAGTTCGATCGTCCAGCAGGAGTGGCAGTAGATCTCCACAACAGGATAGTTGTGGCAGACAAGGATAACCATCGTATACAGATCTTTGACATGGATGGTATCTTCATATTGAAGTTTGGAGAGAAAGGGAACAAAAATGGGCAGTTCAATTACCCTTGGGATGTTGCTATCAGTGTAGAGGGAAAACTGTTAGTTTCGGACACAAGAAACCACCGTGTGCAACTTTTCACACAAGACGGGCAATTCATCAACAAGTATGGTTTCGAAGGATCGTTGTGGAAGCACTTCGACTCTCCAAGAGGGGTTTGCTTCAACAACGAAGGTCAAATGGTCGTGACAGACTTTAACAACCACAGACTTTTGGTGATACATCCTGATTTTCAAACAGCACGATTTCTTGGAACTGAAGGAAGTTCAAACGGACAGTTTCTGCGCCCACAAGGTGTAGCCGTAGATCAAGAAGGAAACATCATTGTAGCTGATTCCAAGAACCATCGAGTGCAAATTTTTCAGCCAAACGGAAATTTTCTCTGCAAGTTTGGAACCAATGGAACTGGACCGGGGCAGCTTGACAGACCCTCTGGAATATGTGTGTCTCCAGAAGGCCTTATCATTGTTGTGGATTTCGGTAATAATCGTGTGCAGGTCTTCTAAGAAACCCATTTTTCATGGCTTTCTTCCTGTAAGGAAGAGCTTCAGTACTTTTTTCATTAACTTGCTCAGGTCAGTCCATTTTATTTTGCTATCTCAGGATATTCATCGTTACAATTGTAAATGCCAAAGGCAAATGTTTTAACACATTTAAGCTCAGGGATTTTGCTATATGTGTATTATACTGCAAAAAATATAACTGCTTGTGTGGAGATTATTTATTAGCTTATTTGCTTAGGTGTATTTGACCCTCTGGGAATAACCTGTAAGTACCTGCATTGACCATGATTAAATTATCTGTAATTATATATATGTAACACGTGTAGCTGGTTGTTTGTCAATGTACTGTGTGTCAGTGATAATGCCTGCAAAGTTATGCACTTTCTCCCTTGGTAAATAAGTTTTAGGAACAGTGACGTTGGTCAACATTTGGTCAGCAAATAAGTGGTGTGGATTGTAATTTATCATGGGGTTAAAGGTCACATCAGGTGGCGTTAGAAAATGTGTATTACTATATGGGATAATCATTTTTATGCCCAGGGGGAAACATATTTTTCATAAGGTTGGAGTAACTTTGTGTTGCCTCCATAGTGGTGTTTTTTTAAGGCTATAGGCTTGTCTGCAGTGATGTAAAAATTGCAGTTCACACACACCATTACGAGCCCTCACAGAGGGATATTGATTTCTCTAAGCTGGTCAGATTGTTATGATGTGTTTACAGTGGTTACTCTGCTAGCTGACCATTGAGTAGTCATGTAATGTTACGTAAGGGGACAGATGTGTAATTTTATCTTCAGTACTTGGCAGGAATTATTAGTCAGATGTATACACAAAAGGTTTTATTATATCCTGTTTTATTGCATGTTTCCTAGATCTTTAGAAAATTGTCTGACATGTAAATATTTTTTACTTTTTAAAAACATATTTTATGTATCTAAGATTTCGTAGAGTAGATAAGTCACATTAAAAAAAGCCAAGATCAAATCGAACATAGTTATTATCAATCAGGTCAAATTTAGGATTAAAAATTTAAAATTCCAATATACAACGAAAAAAAACAAAGTGTATCAATGGTCATTAGAAATGATTGAGCTAAGTTTACTAAATTCTGAAAGATAAAATGTTGAAATATTGGTTAATTTAATTTCAATATTTTCTTTTAACGAATTCCGATTCCTCCAGTTAATGTATTAAAAGTATTGATTGATCTGATTGGTAGACGTGTTTGATTTTACAATTGTGGAGTGTAGAATATTTTCTGAGTTACTGTCCCTTTTACTTATTTTGTGTATTTCAAAAATACATTAAAAATTTTAACCGGTGCAAGATTCAGATACAAAGTATTATGAATCATTAAAAAACCAGTGTTTTTACAAAGCAGGATTTTTTTCTGCTTAGAAAAAAAAAAAATCAATTCATTTTCATATATTTATTCTTGGGTTGGATTGATGATAGATTCAAGTGAAATTTTCTTTCTTTTTTTCATGTTACTCACTTTATTGGGAAAAATATATATTCAAAGACAGAACAGAATATTAAATGTATATTTCTAAAAAAGAGGAAAATGTTGACCCACTGCCAAAGAAAATAAATTGTAAAATAGAATTAGGACATAAGGTTAGAGTTGTTTAGAAAATTTTTTGTAACGGATTTATGCACAAAAGAAAGAGATCTTAGATCTACACAAAAATTCCTTTCATATTTTATTGGTACTTGGTTGAATTTTTAGGTGAATACATAATTTTTGTGAAATTGGGGGACTGTTTCTGAAGAATATTGTGCGTTTCTTTTTATATCTGTACTTGAGAACATATAAAACTGTGTATGCTAATTTTTGTCGGCCATATTACCATTACACTTGACTATTTAGTATATAATATTGTTAATTAGTAATGTTGTAGAACCATATCCGGTGATTGATTTTTGTAATTCTCTTGAACTTGCTGTATGAATAGGGAATTTCACAGAGTATTAAGTAGCTCCATTTTCATTCTAGAATAGAATGTACTGAAGGAAATTTCCTACCATTTATTTAGGTACTAGTGAATTGAAACATCTAAATCGCTCATTCGTGACTAACTACAGTCTCAAAAATATGCATGAAAGACCAAATTATGTACATTTTTGGTGTGATTCTCTGCATAATTCCCAAACCAGTTGTAAAAGATTTATGTGAATGGTTCCGATTTTGTCCTTATAAAAAATTCTAGTACGAGTTGACTATGTGACATAGTGACATATATATGAATTGAATAGCTCTGTGAACAGTTCAACACATACTTTCAGGAACTTTCCCATTCAAAGGTTTTAATCTGTATACACTAATTATAATACCTCATGTGTTGAAATAAATTGTTGGAAAGAGTTTGGCAAAAAATACCTCATTTTTGACATTTTTTGCGAAGCAATATACCGGTATATTATATAATAATTTTTATGTCCTTTCAATACGGAGAAATGAATTTTTTTTTCTCAGGCATGTTCGGAAAAAATGGGTCAGTGCAGAAAATATATCATTCATTTCTTGTTCCTTTATGTAATATTAATAAATGCTACACTATAAATCAATCTTATTTTGAGGTAAACTTTTACTAATCATAATTGAATGTCAATTTGAAAAATAGAGGGATAGGAAATAACCAAATCTAAATACTTATCTAGTATTAAAAAAAAAAAAATTATATATTGGTCATTTGAAGTAGCTTAAAAAAATCATCTCTTAATATTGACCAGTGCTGGAATTCAGGGTGAAATTAGTTTGTTATTTGGTGAAGACTGATTATATAAATCTGCTGCTGTAGTCTGTTGCTAGTGTCCTGTTAGTTATGAAATGTTGCTTATGTGATAACATGTCAGTTTTGTATTAACTCTGCTACCTCATTTGTTCATTAAATCTATCATAATTTTACAAACTGAAATGCCTCTTCCAGTTTTGTTTGAAGAATTCTACTAGAATATTTGACTGGTACTTTCAATTTGGAAGTTGTCCATTTTGTTGGTCACATGTGCAGTAGCACTATAGAACAGTTTCATGACTTGTTTTCCCAGAATGCAATAATCATGATGGCAGAATGTTGGGAAAGATTCACCAAAACCCTTTATATTTTATGTCCCATTTGCCTCACTCAGCCTGTTTTTAAAAATTTTATTGTTCTTGGATGTCTCTCTAAAATTATTAACATTTTTTAGCCTTAATAACCCAGTTCATATATTTGCTTTGTAAATAAAATGCAAGTCTTTTTTCAATGCATATCAATTAATATTTTTTTTGAACAGAACTTAAAAAAATTTAATTACAGGGTTTGTTTTTTTAATTTTACTTTTACAAAGAAATCAAAATATCCAAGCAAATTCAGAACAATGCTGCTATTCTAAATTTTATGTGAAATTATTCAAATTATGTTTGCAAGGGATTTTTTTTCAATGTACATGAAACATTTCTGAGCTTAGATTTGTTACTTTATATATCAAAAAAGGTGTATATCACTGTAGTTGTATAATTCTTCTAGTTTGCATGTTACCGTTATCAAAAGATGTTTTATTTTGATGGCAGTGGTAGAGATAGTTTTGTATTACATGATGTTTGTTCTTTGTTAAACAATTGAAATATGGTTTAGATAGTATAAAAGGAAAGAGTACAATGTTCACAGGGGTTATTTGTGACATTGAAATGAATTATGGCCTTGTTAAAGAAACGGGTATTAAAAAGTCGAGGAATAAGATGTATATATTTATATTTACAGAATTTCTTAGTTTGATGTTTTGTTGCACTTTTTTTTAATCTACTAGTTTTGTAGTTATTCAAGGAACTGAAGGATTAAGTTGTATACTTTCATTTCTCTCCCCCCCCCCCCCCCTAAAAAAGTCAAGTCAGGAGTGAAGAGGTGTGACAGATGTGTATTTAATATTACAAACCATAGTTTATAGCTTAAATAGGCAGCCATACATGTTACAAATTGCCAACTCCATGTGTACTTTTTACGAATTTGTTCATATAATCCTGTTTTATTCAAACCACAGGTTCATATTTTTGGAGATTTATGTTTAGTTTTTGGTCATAGACCAGTTCCTTATTTTTTTTTTAAGCAAATATGTGTGGTTCCAAATTAAGAAAAAAAAAATTAGTAAAATGTGTAAGATATTTTTTGATTTCTGTTTTTTCATCACAGAATGTATCATTTGTCTTAGCACAAGTTCATGTAATGTGAATCATTGTGTAACAAGCACATCCTATCAAATTTTTTTTTGGTAGCAAACTTGAATACTGATTGAAAATTTTCCTAAAACTTGTTTTATGTTGTCTAACCAGTTTTTGGTACAAAGTATATTTGGCTTAGACAAGTTTGTGAAAGCATTGGGCATTTTGTATTTTGTAGAAGGTGTTCAATCCTATTTTTTATCCTTCAAAAGTCAGTTTTTACTTGCATACAATGCACAAGTGTGAACTATTGAAACTTTTATGTGCTTTTTTTACGTTTCATAAAATGAAGTAAATAATTTAACTCAGTGCTGCAATATACGCTTGTATGTAAAAGTTCATCTTGTATTGTGTAGAACTCGAAAGTCTGCTATGTAAAAGAAGATATTCCTCAATTTCACTGCCTTCCAAAGTACAAATTAGTGTTAGTGTGAAATAATGAAAAAGGAGATTTTTTGTAAAAACTATTACAGTTTAAATTTTCACAATACCAGCTTTTGTGGTGCTATTTATGAGAGGAACATCTTCGAAGTGGTCAGGTCTTTCATGTAGCGAGACAAAGAGTGTTTTTTGTCCACAAGCTTTTCTTTTTGTGTGTTATCTATGTGACATGTCACATTAAACAATAAATTTTATTCTTCTTTACCATCAAATTCGACTTCTCTATTGCTTTGTAAGTTGGTGTGAAAAATCGCCAGTGAAAGTGATAAAGCTGTTTTCTCGTGAAAGACAGCATGATGGGCTTTCAAGCCTGCTGGTCAACAGCTCTGCTCGACAGGGGGCACTTTCTCTAACCAGAGAAAGTGAACATAGATAAGCGACCAAGGTCATTAAAAAGCGCGGGCGCTTATTTTCCTCGACTTTGTCAGCTGACAAGGAGATACACGTAAACATGCCATTTAGTTTTATTCACGTTGTCTTCAAATTAGAATGAAAGTTTTTGTTTACATTGACTTCTCTGTAGTCATGGACAAAATATGTGTGTATTTGTAAAAGTGCGTAAAACAAGTTGGCACAATTCCAATCTGGCTTGCTCTTGCGAGAAACTGACCACTACCGCGTAGGTAATCCCCGCCCACTTTTTACGGCCAGGACACGGCATATGTGGATTGAACTTGGGGGTTCACCAGCGGGGTATTTTTAGGAAATCTCAGCATGGAATTGATAAGAAAACTTACTACGGATAAATAACACTTATTTCAGAAATCTGCAATATTTCTCATAAATTTATTTTTTAAATTTGGTAATCTGAATAAGATGTTTACCATAAGAGTTTGTCATAATGTTAAAAAGTTGTGCACAATTTTGTATAGAATTAAATAGAAAGAATATATATATATATATATATATATATATATATATATATATATATATATATATATATATATATATATATCAATCCATGCATAATGTTTTTGACTGTGTAAGTACCGTTTGCAAAATTCTCTCAGAGAGAGAGAGAGAGAGAGAGAGAGAGAGAGAGAGAGAGAGAGAGAGAGTGAGAGAGCAACTAATTATTTCAGAAAATCAATATGCGCAAAATTCTTTGAAAGAGAAAGAGAAACATTCATTTTCAAAAACAGTTATATCTTCAATTCAGCATGTCCATAATTAAACAAAAATAACGATCTGTAACAGGCGCGGATCCAGAATTTTTTTCCAGAGGGGGGTGTCCACCCCAGTGAAAAAAATCCAATCCCAGAAATTTCTTGACAAGCAAAAAAGAAAAAAAGCCCTAAACTCACCCAAACGTCAAACCTATTTCGTGGAGGGGGGGGGGGGTTATGACTTCTATTGCCTCAATTCTGTCACTTTTCATACCCATTTCACTCATATTCGCGTTTAGTGTCCGTTTACCAGGAGGGTGCGTTTTCCAAAGGGGGTCCACGGTAACTTTTTTGTTGCTTTAGGGGGGTCTAAAACTGTTTTATAGAGTCTTTCTTTAAAAGAATGGATAAGGGCAATTCTTTAATTTAAGGTCATACTCAATGTAGTTTAAACTTTTTTGGGTTCTTCCCTGGAGTTGAAGAGTTCCACTAAATGAAGGACCCGTGTGATATACTTTTAATGTCTATATATGGGTTTGTACACCTCTTTTAAAACAATTTTTGATGAAAAAAGATCTGGAATTTATATTTTGTAATTTTTGTGTATTTTTCTTTGAATAATGCAAAATTTTTCACAATTTGATATCTTTTCAAAACCTCTGGTAACACATGCTGATTTTTTGTCTAAGATCATGTAATGGTATTGTAAGTTTAAATTTAGAATATCTTGAAAAATTATCAGTAGGTGAGGTATGTTGCGTATGTCCTTAAAATTACTGTATTTATAACAGATCAAAAACAAAATAGCGTCGGATATCTATTCTAAAATGATGTTTGCGATCAGTAATTCCACCAGTTATGACAGGTATGTTTATTTGGGGGTTGGGGGGGGGGGGGTTCTTTTACTGTCAGAAAATGTTATTCCGGTAACCCGAATCTTTCCTGACTACTCTCTCTTCCAAAATGATACCACAAGCATCGTGTGTTTAGTGATAAATGTGAAACAAGTAATCATGTTCAAAAGATAAACCGTGTGTAGGAAGTATCGTGAGATGGGATCAGGTGCCATACAGGAGCAAGCATCCTCGGTTGACCAGGCACACCCGCCACGTGCTCCTTGGCATGATCTGACAAACGAGAAAATCCGTATACAAATCAAGGAGTGAATAGTGACCTAATAATTTCTATGAACAACGCCAGTCAGCATTTACATAATGATATGTCGTATTTGATGACAAGGTCATTGTATTAACCAAGAACTTGCAAAATGCTCAAACAGAAATTTTGATGTCCTTGTTTTATCAACTTGTTTGTCAATAGCATGCATCATTTTAGAAAATATTCGAACGTATAACAAGCTCTCGTGTATCGAATCAACTGGGAGACATAAGCAGGTGGTAAAGTATTTTTTTTTTACAGAAATAAGGAACAACTAAATTGATGCACACAATTACTGAACTGGTGTGTACATTAATTATTGCTCTCATAAATTCACAATTGCTGTCAGCATGAATTTATATTGATAAAAGCAAGAGATGTTTGGATTCGAAAAATAAATTGTACTGTTGCTCAGGATATAAGGGAATCAACACTCTTAACCTTCAATGAATTTAAAGCTCTATATTCCGCATATTTCTGGAGTATTTTAAAACTCATGTATTAAATCTGTCACAAAAATCAGAATTCATTTTTAACAAGAATCATGTAATGTGTCAATAAGCTAACTGAATTGCTCTAGCTTTCAAAAAATGCATAAGTAAAGGTATACTAGTATTAATTAAAGGGGATTGGGTTCCAGCAGTAATCAAATCGCACTGAAGATGCAGCATGATAACAGCATTGGAAACTGACTTCTCTCTCTGGGTAGGTATGAAAAACATTTCATTAATGAACCTAACAAACTTCTTCTTGTCACGAAAATCGGTTCTGGAACACAAGATTTTTTCTCCATCAGACTGCAAGAAGATGTTTCCTTCAGAAAAATCACTTGACCTTTAACCTCAGGTAAGCTAAAAAGTAAACTTACTTAAATTACAGTTAAGACTGAAGATAAAACAAAAGCAGGACACTTCTTATTTTCACTTATTGTTAGTCACAAGGCTATATAAAATATCGGCATACATTCTCATACATGTATATACAAGTATCAAAAAAACAAGTGTAACAGTAATAAAACATTACTTCTTTATTTCCATAATCATCTACAATATTGTAAATGCTTTATATATACATAATAAAGTCACATATTCCTGTTTTAATCAGGACACCCCGTTGTCCGGGCGGGGCACCCCAGGCTTGGAGTTCAGCTTCATCTCCACACGATTGGGTGTTACATGTCCAAAATGGTCCTTAATCACAATCTGTGCCATTTTTCTTCTTCCTGTTACAATAACATAAATTCTTCAGTTATTATTGTCAAGATCTTTTATTTTACATATTTTCTTTTTTTTAATATAAAACGGTCAGAATGAGTGAGAAAAGGTAGTTATAATATTCTACATGCAATTTTGTCTTTCTTAAAGAAAAAATTACAAGAGAGTAATGGTACCCTTTTTTGAAACATATTAAAAATTTGAATTATAATCAACTCAGAAAACAATACTGTCTTAAAAAAACAAGAGAATATACATAACATGTACATGTTAGCCTGTTTATTTACTTACCCTCAATTAAATCTAAATAAAGCTTCAAGAAGTACATCTGTGCTGGTAATGGAGTTCCTATATAATTAGAACTCTGAAACAAACAATATATTTAGGTTAGAAATCTTAGCTTCTTGTCTTTATCTGAATATACAACATACACTGTATAATGAAGCTTTCACACAAGCTCAACTCTTATGGTCCAGTGGTATTAGAAAATAAATTGTTTGAATGATGCTATTGAATTTTCACTATTTCTTAATTATGCATCTGTATTGAAAGAGGGCTTAGTCCTTCACTTAAATAAACTAGCAATACTATTATCTAAAGGATTCTTTTTGCAAGTTTCATTAAAATTGGACCAGTATTTCTTGAGAAATCAAAAATTTGAAAAGTTTACAGATGGACAGACAGATAGACATGGGACAAAACATGATCAGAAAATGCTCACTTGAGCTTTCAGTACAAATGTCAGAGCTAAACAGGACACCTCACCTCTCCTAGATTCTGTACAGCTTTGTCGTACTCCCCTCTGATGGCGTGAGCTGAGGCCAGATTGTACTGTGCTATGGCTTTTGCTCTCAGCAGATCTTTGGGTGACCAGGGATAAAAGGAACCTATCATGTAACAAAAGTTGTTTCAAGCAATGTCAATTTATCTTATCATTGAGGTCCATAATTTATTATTTAAGATTGCTTGATTGATTGGTGTTTAATGCCGAGTCGGCTATTTTTCAGCCATATTTCGGCGGCTTATTATTAAAGAATATGAAAGAATATGAAAAGTATTTCACATTTATAGTTAAATAAGTTCATATACTATGGAAAGTATTTTTATAACCTTTGTTCTCTGAAGCTTCTGGATCTCGTTCACTTTTGTCTGGAAAAAAAAATACAAAACAATGGTTGTCTCAAATTGAGAACATCTGTTGGTAGGTAAATGTTCCTGCATTAAGCTTTGACTTCAATGGCACTAAAACATGCTTCAAAGTCAAGGACAAACAATATTGATCCCTTGTAGATGCATTTTGTTAAACCCAAACATTTCTCAATAATTTTTTTTTATAACAAACCTACAGGAAATGAAAATTATTTCACTGTGAATGTACTAAAAGCATGTTCATTGTAACTGCGTTTTATCAGTAATTTAATACCGGGTATATATTTTAATGAGATTTCTTTTTTTGTTTTTTTTTCAATTTCCTGGTTCTATTTTTATTGCTACTCTATTTAATGAATGCAATTGGCAAGGAATTAAAATAAAACAGAATGAAATCTTACAGCATCTTTCATAAATTTTATGAAAATTGCACTTAAACTGCACTTAAGAGCTTCTCAGTCTTGTTTCGGTTTCGTAACATTTTATAATTGTGAAACGACTTCAGTATCTACCTTGCTCTGTTTTGTTTTCTGGCAGGGTAAGACTGATGTCCACCACTAACTCTGGGTTCAGATGCTGGATAGCATCAGCAATCTTATCCATGGCAACCTGGGCCTCTGCCATGTAAAGATGACCCAAATATCTGTCAACATAAAAATGTACTTCAGATTAAACTAGCAATGCAAGGTGTTGAAACCAAACCAAAATTGGAAAGTGCCTATGGTTTAAAAATGCAGCGATGCTGCAAAATTATATATTTTCATGGGTTCAGATTTCTGAGGTTTCTTTGAAAAATTTCATTTTGTGTAAACCAACTTTTATTCGCGATTTACCAAGGATAAATTAGTTCGTGATGATGATATTGCGCGATAAGGCCTTTTTTGATCTGTTGTAAAAAGACAGAGAGACTTTAAGTGCCGGATTCGCAGCGAGAAATATTCGCGAGAACAAGGCTGTCGCGAACTTCGCAAAAATTTCTCGCACCTGAATAAAAGTTGGTTTACAGTATTTTCATACTTTGAAATCATGATAATTAAAGAAAATGAAACCAAGTGATTTCTCATTTCTGAACTTGCAGAACTGAAGTAAGATGCTTAACTTTAAGACTTACCTTTGAGCCCCTGTAAGTTTGGGTTGTTTGAGTAAGTTGTCGGCATGAAGTAGAGCTTGTGTGTAATCATTCAGACACAGAGCTACATAGGCACTAGCAGCCAATACAGAACACCTGTTATATACAAATAAAACCCTCAGTGGCTATATCTAGTTTAACACCCTTAAATTATACATATTCACCAATCCCCTAATACTGATTTATTTTTCAAGAAAGACTGATTTGATCGCATCAGAAAAACTGAAATGCACCTCACCTGAGACTGGCCACTTCTGCCGCCTTCAGGGGATTCCCGGGGGGAGCTGGTACAAGTACCATCTCAGGGGTCATTTTCCTATAAAACATTTCAAAGAGATTTTCCATTAAATCACAATTTTTACACACAAAATTCAAGGACCTGTCATCAAATTTTTTTGTACTTAATGTTAATGGATGCTCTTATGCATTCACACAAGTACATATATGGATATGACATTTTCGAGAGAAGATATGATGAATCATTCAAAGACAAAGCACATACAAGATTAAATTTGCATAATAGGTGATAATTATTAGACGACCTTAATTCCCAGAACAAAATAACACTTACACAGAGTCAGAATCTTCAGATGGCAGTGTTTCTACAGTAAGAGGATCCTCTGGCAGTAAATGTAGGGCATTCTTCAAACAGAGAGCTGCAAACTCATGAGTGGCTGCTGGAATAGCTGGTGTCCCTGGACTACAATCATAAACATTAGGTTTTATTGAAAGATTATTAAACTATCCAAAATGAGAGTGTGGAGTTTTTATATTGACACTTGAGTGAAAGTTATGAAATAAGGTTGTATTACAATATCTATTCATAAAAACAATTTAATTTGATAAATCTAGGCATATAACTATCAGTTATAAAACCTATATGACTTTAACCTAGAGTTATCTTTCTTGAGTCCAGGGCCAAGCCGCAGCTTCCTGTGAATCCCGCTCCCATCGGATCCCTGGATGACCTCTAACCTCTTCTCCAACTTCCTGTCCTCATCATTATTCTGTATAAAATAAAGATACAATCTGTTACTTTTGTTTATGTATGAAATGATTATTAAATTTGAAATGTATATTTTTACCTTTTAAGCCTTGATATCAAATGCAACTATAAAAGCATCAAAATATATTGAGCTAGTAACATCTATAAATGCTTCTTTGTTACTTAATAAATCTAAATGAGAGGCAACAATGCAATTTTTGCAAGGAGTAAAATTCTCTGAATGCAACAAATTCTTTTTTGAGATGTGTAGGTATTATATCGAATTTCGTACTTCTCTGTTGGCCATTATACAGCACTCTGCCAGTCTCAGCCACAGTCTAGGGTTGGTCCTGAAGACCTGAACTGCCTCAATCAAGCAGTCAAAAGCAGCCATGGCCTTCCCACAATGCAACAGCTGAATGCCCATATTGTACAACAGTTCAAAGTGTCTACTCATCCCAAGGGAGTTTAATGCCTTACCAGAGAGATTCTTATCTGAAATGGCATACCAAAAATTCATATGAAAAGTATTAGCTATTAATATAATGAAAACTGACTAAAAATTGACAAAGTCAAACAGGATGCTGTAGATCTTGAATTTTCAGCAAGCGGCTGAAAAATCTATGGTGGTTTCATGAAGTCTGTTGTAAATGTTGTAATACATAGTTTTTCATATAGCAAGTGCATGTATGAAGTGTATTTATAGAATAAATGACCTACTTGGTCCTTGACCTTTGTTTTATGTCAAAGGTCATTGTCAAAACCTAGAAGTGTCTTCCTTTATTCACTGTTTACCTACATGTATTTAGCAAAAATACTACAGTAATTAAGAACCCTCTCTGCACTGTACACTAAAGAGTTCTGATTCTATGGTATTTTTCTGCAGTTAGAGTGAACTGCCCATATATTACTTGATTTTTTAAAAGCCCAAGATAAATTAGATAATGATGTTATTTACATATATTTTTACTATGGAAGTACATTTAATTAACAGTGACTTCTATTCACTGATACTGTGTTGTGTTTGAACATTTTTGCAGGGGGTAAATGCCACGTACCATGTAGTGAAAATTAAATACGCTCAATATTAGCACATTTATACAAGATATTTACTCAATGTACAAAAAAACATTTTGCCCTAGTGTAGAGAGAGTCCTTAGTTAAAAAATGGATGTAACAAAATGAGTTCTTTAAAACAATATCTATTTATTTTATGCAGTAAATAAAGATTTTATTCTTAAAAGATACCCATGTGACTGCATTCAAAAATACAAGGGTTGATCCAAAAGTTCGTGGAATTTCTTCATAATTTTATTATATATTTTAAAGTGGAATTGGTTGAAAATCACAAATAAAAATATAGACACTTGATGAATATTTTAAATTAAAATTTTTCAAAAATATCTTGGATAGTAACTCTATGGCAGTTGCCATAAAAACGATTGTTTGGAAATGCGGGGGAGACATTAACGCATTCATTATCATTTAAATTCTAAATACGTGAAATGAGAATTAAACCACCCCATGTGGTATATAAAACAACCAGAAGTCTCTGTCGAGACTGAAGCTCTATCGAGACTGAAGCTCTACTGGTTTGTACTTATAACAAATGAAGACAAAAGTAGCAGTTGGGACTTAAAACTTTACAACAGCAATAAATAAAATGATGCTTGATTGAGCTCTTTTTGTGGCAAGATACTGCAATAAGACTACAGCTGTAGGAGTAGCTATTAATAAACTTTTAGAGTATTTTCAATTTTAGTAACCATGGCAACATCATTTCTCGAAATCAAAAATCGATACATAGAATTGTGTATCTTAGTGTAGTCTACTCGTGTGCCAAGTTATATTGAAATCAGACCAAAACTGTAGGAGGTGTAGCATTTTGAAAGCATTTCAGAGAAATTTCTATTTTTAGTAACAAAGGCAACTAGGTTCATCGAAATCAAAAATTGATACACAGAATTATGTATCTTAGTGTAGTCTACTTATGTGCCAAGTTATATTGAAATCAGACCAAAACTGTAGGAGGAGTAGCATTTTAAAAGTATTTCACAGAAATTTCTATTTTCAGTAACAAAGGCAACACCGTTCATCGAAATCAAAAATCGATACACAGAATTATGTACATCTTAGTGTAGTCTACTTGTGTGCCAAGTTATATTGAAATCAGACCAAAACTGTATGAGGAGTAGCATTTTGAAAGTATTTCACAGAAATTTCTATTTTTAGTAACCACGGCAACATCGTTCATCGAAATCAAAAATCGATACACAGAATTATGTATCTTAGTGTAGTCTACTTGTATGCCAAGTTATATTGAAATCAGACCAAAACTTTAGGAGGAGTAGCATTTTGAAAAATTGTTTACAGACAGACGGACAGACGGACGGACGCCGGACGCATTACTATCACATAAGCTCTTCTGGTCTCTGACCAGTAGAGCTAAAAATTATGTCATTATTACAATTTCTTGATCTTTTGTAAACCTTTGTGTGAGAGTTTTACTGATTTTACAGGATATTTAGGTTATTGGTTGATGATTTATTGTTCATCTTTAAGTTGTTAGACAACGTCAAATTTCGGCCAAGTCATACGTTTTGTGAAAATCCCGGGATCACTCTATCTTAAACGCGTATATTATTGACAAAGGCTTGGGAAAAGTTCATTTAATTACTGGTCTTCCAGTGGCATAAGAAATTTGAGAAAAATAGAACTTCCATGGACGTTGATTAAAGGTGTGGTTGCTTTTCTGAGGCTCTGTTTTAAGTGTGTATCCCCCTAGACAAATTAAAAATGTTAATGGGCGTTGTCGGCTGCCGTACTGTCCTTGACATTGCTATTGAAATTGGAACATCATATGAAAAGATGGGTAGTATTTTGAAATATGAGTAAAATTTGAAGATAAGTTGATGCAAGAGGATACGCAGGCTTTTCTTGAGAAAAGAAATGGAGAAAAAGGCAGCATTTTGTAGAATTACTTGCTAGAATTAGACATTAGGGCGAGATGCTTCTATAACATGACGTGACATATCTAACTTGACGTAACATCAAAGTCTCCCCCGGGTTTCACAACTATCCATTTTCAGAAAGCTCGTGTGACCTTATAGGTAATTGGAAACTGGTGAAAATTTCCATTATTGTTGCATTATGACTCTATATTAGGAATATGCCTGTTGTTTGCTTTCATCAAATCACGATAAAAATTTAGAAAGAAAGTCCACGAACTTTTGGATCAACCCTCGTAGTCATTTAAACAATCTGGACCTGTGATAAAGTGATTCTAAAACATAGGTATCTTTCCTAAAAATTCTGCATCTACATGTATGTAGGTGACAAATGGACTGAAAGACAGACCTGGTGATTACTATAGTGTATTCCCATCTTGATATGGGGCCTTTATGCAAAATATCTAACCAATAATCTTCTAAATTTTCTTGTCTGTATAAGAGTAGGTAAATGTGTATTCTTTACTGTTCTCAATAAGTAAAAACTAAAATAAATGAACACGGATCTCTATATAAAAAGATAAAATTTTACTGTGTTCATTTCCCCTTTTGATGTCTTTGAGTGCATTCTCATTTTCTTGGAGAGCTTTCCGGAAGTGGAAGGCGCCCAGGTTGTGTTTACGGAGGTGGAACTGTATACAGCCCAGGTTGTTGTTGTACATGACGGGCAGACATTCCCCGGCCTCCGTGAAGACACTGGTGGTCGTGATGGAGCTCAGCATCTTCATGGCCTTCTTGTGGTTTCCTCGTAGGTGTTCAAAGTTACTCTTCAGGTATATTACTGAAGTGTTCTGCAATTGTTAACACTGCTGTGTTATTAAAGCTATTAATGTGCAAAAATGTTAGAGTAGTTCAAGTACATACAAAATAGGTTAAGGACAATTTAAGACAATCAATCTGAAAATGGTAAAATATTTACAAATGTAACTTTGCATTTCCTCTTCCTGAAACCCAAGTATTAAAATATTCATGACACAATAAGGCCATAATAAATAAATTGCTAGATTCTCATCCGATTTTTTTTTTTAAATCGAGGCGGGCGGGCAGCTTTTATTTTATATTTTTTCAATTTTGCAGATTTTTTATTGACCTGGTCAATCTGTGTAATTTTATCTACAATACCCGAATAAATGTCATAGTAAAGGTTCAATTATCTCTTACTTCACATCATCACCAATCTTTTTCAACCAATGACCCTTGTTTAAAATATATACATGTACGCATGTATTACAGCAATTACCATCTTTTCAGCTGTCAAAATCATGTTGACTTTTGCGGGATTTAAAACCAAAGTAGAATGGTAGATGAATACCGATCCAGATCAGAATTAAGACGAAGAAAAACAGAAATAAAAAAAATCAAAGCGGGCGGGGATGAGAATCTAGGAATATTTTTATTATGGCCTAACATTGATGCGTTTTTACGAAAATTCATACCGTAGACTGGGTGTTCATTAGAGACTTGATCTCTCTCTTGCATGACTTCATGGATTTCATCATTAGAAGACAGCGAGTTCTATACTGTAAAACAATCATTAAACTTTCATTTGAATGAGTTAACCAATGTGAAATTTACCACATCAATGTTACATTTCTGCCACACAGCATAGGTTTTTTTTCCTGCACTCCTCCATAAGCCAGATTTATGGGGAAAGATGAAATATCAAATCAATTAGGTTTTTTATTTTAATTTCAAATTACAAATATGGATCACAAAATATCATGAGCATAATTAATAATTCACTACAACTATGGTGGAATCATGAAAACCTTGTAGAATTCTGTGTCGATCTTACTACACCTGTCTGATCCATCTGGACTGTAATGTTACACTCACCAGGCTAAGTTTAGGCTTCCAAGCTTCATCCACCTGCTCCTCTTTATTCTCTTTCTCTCCTGAATTCTTTCCAGCAGTAAATACTGTCTCAGTTGCATATCTTAGCATTCCTAAAGCTTTTTCAGGCTAAATTTACAGAAGAAAATAAAAAATCATGTCTTTACTGGTAATTTTCTCTCTCTCTCTCTCCCAATATAGGATTATTACACTGTATGTCTTTCTGTTTTACCTGAAATGTACACAGATAAAGTTCCACCAACAGCAGAGTAGCTTTCTTTGCCAGGGCTTCCTCTATAACAAGAACAAAAAGAAAGCCATACATAAACTACATAAACATGCATCACACATTCTCTTAAAATTTCATCTGAATTACATGTATTTTAACCCCCCCCCCCTTTAAAACTGATATAAATCTACATTAAAAATGTTAAAATATTAATTGGGCGTTGCTACCTAATGGCTCTATGTACTGGAAGAGTTTGTCTAGAATGTTGAGGGCAGCTTTATACTGGCGTAGATGGTATAGAATGACGGCTTGATTGAAATAAATAACACTGTGGTCCACATCTTCCAAACTCTCACTGTTATCAATGTTCACATGGGCCTGAAATGTAAATACATGTATAATTGATTTATAATTCAGATGCAATTCATTTAGTGGGTTTAATCATAAAGAAATTAAGTAACAGCTTTCTTTTGAAAAAAACATTTTTTCTTTCATGGAAAATACTGTAATAAATTTATTACATCATACATGTACCAGTAAATCATACTTAATATATGTACTGCCTCTCCTTCTTTATTACAGCCTATGTTAGAAAACCGTTTTCTAATCTAATACAGTAAAAGATGTTTATTGAATCACCTTCATGAAAATATAGTATTAAATGGATTTAATATGTACCATTTGACAGACTTTCGACAAATTTTGTCTAAACTCCTCGGTGGTTAGAAATCCGCTCTGATAGAATTCAGCGACGGCTTTGTTGTGAACAACTTTGGGATCTGTGGGTCTCTGGGCTATCAATTTGTGCATTAGACTGCAGCAGGAGCCATACTGTTTCTTGTCAAACTCGGACATGGCCAGTGTGGCCATTTCTTTCTGTGCCTCGGTCACTTGGGGGATGGGCAGGGCAAACTCCAGCTCCGCTTCGGTTTCATTTCTGGATTTATTGTCTGCCATGGTTCTTCAACTTGGAAGACAAAATAGAAACTTAAAGTTGTGATGATTGCATTTTAATTTCTTTTTTATTACCTTGGTTCTCTTGATAAAGTTTTGATATATTCAGGTTGGCAACACATTCCCTAAAATCATACCATTTGTTAAAGTTTGAGTGAGTTTGAGTCGATCTGAAAATAACTACCAAATTAATCAAAACCAACTTTTTTGAGATTGTATGTGCCTTTTATCCAAAAAATAATCCATAAAGCGACGAAAATTCAACTATTTTTTCAATGGTTTTTCTCACTTCAAATTTACCTGCCATGTTTACATTCAGAACTCTCTGGATTGTTCCTATTATATGAACTGAGTACGAGTTATCACCCGTGTTTATTTTGCTACATTGCAAATACACAGGACAAATTCTATTGTTAAACTGGGTCCGTAGGACAATATCATTTTAACAATAGAACATTCTATCTAGGCACACCCCACCAAATGGTCATTAATCCCCGTTTGGTGGACAATCTCCCATATTGGTGACGAATTTTACTGACCAAAAGGTGGACTTCTTTATTCAATTGCAGATTTTAATAAAATAAAGCAAAAGCGCATTTACTTAAGCAATTGGGAATCTTAGTGAACATATTGCTAGCACAATTAACAAGTTCAAGTAATTAAGTTTAGATGATTTTCCTTGTGCAATTTCTCCGTATTTTCATATTAAAACGATACCCATAGTTGTCTGTAACAGCTGAACTTCTTTATAAATCAATAAAAAAAATTTGATTGTCTAGAAGGATAAAAATTCTATTTTATCCAGTCATTTAACTCTTGATAAGTTAAATTTTAATCGCTTTTTGGATCTTCATCAATATTCATTTCCATGAAATCCTGTTAAACATGAATTGCACATTACTTTACTGGTATGGTGGACACTTATGCTATAAAGTTATTTTTTTTCTTGACTTGAACATATTTCGCTCATAATGTCTGTCTTGTTATTTTTATTTTAGGATAAAGTTCCATGTGTCCTTTGGTGGTTTAATATGTATATTACTGATGAATAATCAATTTAATATATTTGATAAAATAATTTTCAGTTAAAGATCTTTTGCAATTATACCTGTTTTTGTGGAATTGAACAAAACCATTTTTCTCTTCCAAATGGTCAGTAAAATTTGTCACCAATATGGGAGATTGTCTACCCACATGGGGATAACTGACAATGTAGTGGGGTGTGCCAACCTGTGAAATACACTAAGGTGGCAGGCCGCATAACAATAGGCCCTCGTTGCATTCAATGCATTGTGTTAAAACTTGATAGAAATGTTTTAACTTCTATGTAGCTATAATACTAAGATACATGGGTAATTCAAGCTACGTATCGGTAGCCAAATCTAGAGATTGTACCAGACCTCAGTGCTTCGATATGCTTTGAAAATCATATTCATTTGTAATAAATTTAACCAGAGTCCCTGGTTTAACTTTCTGATGCTGTATATAAAGCGTATTAGAAATAAAACGATATCATTGCCATTTTCTCCCCATAAATTTGTATTTTCCTTAATCCCTTTAGTGGTAAAACATGCACAAGATACTAAGAATGCTAAGGCTATCAAGATAACATACTTTTTTCACTCTACTGGTAATTTTCCATGGGCGCAGACATTTTGAGTTACAGCGCCATCTATCGGTCATATCAGAGACCTCTGGTCAAATTTACAGCCGGGCACAAAAGTTGATCCTGATCAAGTTAAACTATAAAAATCGGGGGCTCTAAAGAGTGGTGACAATTGAAAGGTTAGGTATATAGGCCCTTTCATATTCACCCTTTTCTAATAAATTTCAGATAATAACTTATATTGAAATGATGTAAGGCATAGCGATGGAAAATTCCGAAATGCACGGATTTATAGAAAAGGTGGGCCCAGAATTAAGGAGGTCCTGAAACCATCCATTTCATAATTAAAATGAACTCCATCCCTAGAAATCCAAGGATTGAAACACGTGACCTTCAAAATTAGGGAAGGAGAGTCCAATACCATGCAGTATGGACCATATGAAGTGCAGTGCTTGACTGTAGGATGGATTTTAACTTGACATCCGTTCAAAAAGTTGCTAAAGTTTTGGAATATTTATTCTATTAAAAACTCTCTTGAGTAGGTTGGATTGTAGATAGAATGTTCTATCGTTAAAAGGATTGCACATAATACCGAAGGTCATTTTATATCTTTAAAAGGAAGGAAAAAAATTTGCTACGCGCAACAATAACTATTTTTTCTTTGATACATCGATCAAAGGAAAAAAAAAATTACATTCATTTCTTACTTCCATTAAAAATACTCTCTTGAGCAGGTTGGATTGCACATAACATGCATAATGCCGAAGGTAATTTTAATATGTATTTGAAAGGAAGGGGGAAAAGCAAAAAGAAAAGAATCCAATCAGGAAATTTCTTTAAAAAGCCAATAAACGATACGTACTGAATCTACTCCAGTATGTGTCGCGGCAAAACCTATTTCGAGGTGGGGGTAGTGGTGGCTTGAGGGATCCACTTCACTTCCTGAACTGCTTAATAATTATGAATTTTCCCGCCAAATTAACAGTGACCCGCTTTTTCTATGGACTAGGAGCTCGAGGTTCCGAGTTCTTTTTTTTAAAGTGCCTTTCTTTATTAATTTAATCACGGAGGGTGGCGTGTCACTTCCCCCGCCCCCTCTAGATCCGTGCATACAATAATGCAGAAAGAAGATGGGCGTATTTAGCGAGTGATCTGTGCAGGAATCATTTGTACGAAACATTTATGGTTTAAATGTCCATGATTTGGTTGGCTGAATATAGCTGGTCAGATTTTACAAACACGTCCATAGGTTTTTTTTATTTAGTTTGAAAGACCTTGTGAATTTGTAACATTTATGACCGTTTTTCCTAGGGGGTACTATAACATAGTAATGTTTCACAAAAGATAAACACTAAAATATTTAATGCATAGATGCATGATACATGTACGTGTACAAGTACATTATAGAATAGAAGATGAGAATTGATTTCACACGAGAACCAAACTGAACCAAAATTTATCTATTGAAAATTTTAATACATCAGTACATAAAACGAAACTGCCAAAATAAATGGTTGTTTGCATGAAAAATAAATTAACGCCCGATGCCAGACTCGAACCAAAAACTTTTCATATCGAGTTCATTGAACAGGTAGCCCAATTAACTGAGCTATCACCGCTACGCATTACACAGCGGATAGCACCACATTCACGCATTTGGATTTTTTGGGGAAATGTTCATTTTTCGTGGTCTCTGGGTCTTCTCTCCATTTTTAAAAAAAGTGTATTCGTTTCTTTGAATCCAAATACACACAAATAACGCTTCAAAATCATGGAGAGAAGACCCAGAGATAGAAAAATTTTAGAAAAACGTGTTTAAAAATGTACCATTTTGTATCAGATATCTGATCTGGCCAATTTTCAACTTATTTTTTAGCAAATCAAAGCTCAATTTCGGGAAAATATTTTCCTTTCCTGTTGCACAGGAATCCCTATAAATAATTTTTTTTTAAAATTTCATGTGAAATGTCGATAAAATTTTCACTTTTCAATTATTATCATTTTACTAACAGCGTGACAGTTTGCTTGATGGGGCGTGCTAAAATTTTGTATGCTGATTATAATATTACTCATCGATTGGATGCTTTATTTCAATGGAATCAATAATAATTTGCATATGAAACTCAGAATACAACAATATCCTGATAATACTGGCCAATCACATTGAATGATTGTTCACCAGTGCGGCATTTGTACTCACCAGCAACACGTGGTCTGTCAAAGCCCGTTTTCTGTACTCAAAAAAACATGTATTATATTGTTGTGATTTGACCGGATGGGGTTTTATATACGTGTATGAAAATTCAACATGTTCAAAGAATGGAATTAGTAAGCAAGGCTTCTCTGCTACTGTTGTACTACGTAGCTATCAATATCATCATTATCGGTTGTAAAACTTGCTTTGTCCGTCCGCATGTAATTGTTGTTTAAGTAACTGCATAATGGTCAACATATCATTCAATACGATTGGTCAGTATTGTCAGTGGTATTGTTGGGTTCTATGTTTCATATGCAAAATATTATTGATTCCATTGAAATCAAACATCCAATCGATGAGTAAAATGATAATCAGCATACGAAATTTTAGCACGCAATATCAAGCAAACTGTCACGCCGTTAGTAAAACGATAATACGCCCAGATTCCTGCCGAATGCCAATCAAAAGCGCCCTCGTTCTTATTTTCAGTTCACAACAAAGGTAGAATCATTGACTCGTGACAGTCTGTGCATCGAGATAAATTCAGTATCAACATTTTATGGAACAAGTGATATCACTGCGATAAAAATTGTACACCTTTATAAACATGGCGGAAATAGCTCACGAGAACGCATATGATAATCCAAATTTGGGAGGTAATGTACTTACTCATAAATTTATCAATAGTTATTATTTTCAGATATAGGAATTATTATTGAGTTTTTCATTTGAATTGAACTGTCTTCATCACTTGATCAGTTAAAGTGCACTTGTTATTGCACGCCAGCTTTTTGTGATGAAATAATCATTGGCCATTGGTTTCAGGATGTTGTATTTTGTGTTTTGTGTGATTTTAAGTTGTGTCTGAATACCCTTTTCAAAATAAAAATAAAAATTCTCTGAAATTAGCACGTTTAAAAATGTCATATTTACCGTATATAAAAAGTACTCTTCGAAGGAGTTTCGGAACCCTGATAATTTTTCCTGTTTTTATGTTTAAATAGCGAAAAACGGACCAAAAAAAAAAAAAAAAGATCAAGGATATCATATATCATATAGACCATTCTATGAGATAACATAGCAGATGTTCATGCAATATTAAAATCAGGAAATTCCAGAATTCATTCTTGATTATTACTCCCCTGTCTGATAGGTCTGCGATGGAATTTGTTTTCAGTGTCAGTCCCCAGTTTAAGTGCTTCAATAAAATTTATTCAGTGACAGGAAAATATCACAGGCACTTGACGTTACTTACTTTTCATTTAATAAGAAATATACCTCTACCTAATAATACCATACACAAAGGGTGATTTTTTTTTATTGAAAGAAAAATAAGTAACCTCAGGTGCCTGTGGTACACATACAGATTATCCTCTCCGTCAAGGTCTGTCGAAATTAAGATATTTCCAAATACAGGTAACTCACATGTAACTGATGCATATTATCCATGCATTGAAAAAACATGAATAAGAACAATCAAAGTACTCAGAAGTACAGAGAGCCGGGCTCATTTACAGAGTAGAATGAATTTTTTTTTACATGAATCACGTTTATATTCTGATGAAAAAAATATTTTAAAACTATCAATATGAATTATAAGACACTGCCAGTGAGTTTTTCAGTCCTAATACCACGGTCCAATTTTGTCAGAATCTGGTACCGCAGCTGAATGTAAACAAACAGGCCAGTCTGGTTCCCTCTCTTGCTTTACCTCGTATGTGTAGAGAACTACGATAACACTGATTATCAAAAATCCTTACGCTAATGAACTATGTTCTTTGACTTAATTAGGACTGTAGTTTTCAAAGTCATTACTACTAATGTGTATTTATATAGATAAAACTTCGTTTTATTTTTGTTGCTTTGTTTAGCGTTTGCATTATCTCAAAAGCGGTTGAGAGTAAGAACTATATTTTTGCACGTAACTTTAAAATGGCGACTATGGGGTTGATTTCCTGCCTTGAACAGGATGACATAAGCCGGCAATTGCTCTTTGAGCAATAAGCCCAGGTGTAACGCTGAATTTTGAACCGAGTTGAAAATTGACCCGGGGGTCATTTTTCAACGTTGAATAGTGAGACCAAAGGTGTTGAATTTAGACCCTAGTCCGTTGAAAACTGAGCCGGGTCGTGGAATTTTGATCATGAAACCGGTTCTAAATTCAACAGCATATTAACACATATTTATGACTTGGTTTTCACAATTGTGATTTAATCCATAGGCGTCGGGAACGGGGGGGGGGGGGGGGGGAGAGAGGGGCTAGGGATGCTTACACCCCTTTCTTGCAAAGATAGACATAATATAGGCATTGAACAACGTGAAATTGGTTTAGCCCCCCCCCTTTTGCTCTTTCAACAGACACGCTACAGTGTAGTCAAAGAAAAGAGAGTAAGTGGTAGTGCTTGAAAAAAAAAGAAATTGGATCCCCTTTCAAATAGGATTTTCGGGTTTTGACTACGAGTTTGGACAATGGACAAATTTTCTTTTTCTTGTCAATTTTTTACAGGTTTAAATTCTTTTTCTTTTTCAATTACCCCCCCCCCCCCCCCGGATTTTCAATTGGCTTCCGACACAAATGTAATCAATACACACTTAAGTCAGTAATTCAGTAATATTCTTAGAATAAAATACAAATGTTTTCACAGTTACATGTAGCTTAAAATCGCAATATTTCGTGTAATATTTATTTAAAAAGAAGTACATTTGTATAGTGAATCCGAAATATTAGTAAACATAGTTACACACCACAGGCCTTAAGATCGCTTAGAAAAAAAATTGAGGTGTTGAAAAAATTTTTTTTTACACACAATTTTTTTTTTCAAGCGATCCAAAAGCCTGTGTTACACACTATACAATTTAGTTCAGAAATTTGTTTATTTTATTATTATTATTATTATTTTTTTTTTTTTTTTGCTAACAACACTTCATTTTTTTTTAGTTTTAAAATTAGTAATATTAGTATTTGGGAAATGGTGAGAGTTTAACGCATGATGCACGTACGTTTTAATGCTTATTTAATTTATGCACAACATTAATAACTTATAATGTCAAACTTGAAAACGGATTTTTTTCAAAATAAAAGGCTTAGTGATCTCTTTCGCATAGTTAATCAAACAGTTCAAGAACTAACATCATAATTAATATATATTTATTTTGTTAAGTAGAGGATGGAAAAGGGGGGTGGGGATGGGGTTGATCTACCCATTTTGGGGGATAAGTACCATATAAATTTGAAGAATATGTTGTTGTTGTTTTTTTGTATTTATTTCTTGGCTGTTTTCTTCATATTTGTATTTTTTTTAATAAAAAATGTTTGCTTTAGATTCACAATCCTGACTTTCAGCGTTATTTAATTTATATATTTCAGCGTTATTTAATTTATAAAATATAACATTGATCAACCCCAAATCGAGGAAACACAGGATAGTTTGTGAGGAATGTCTGAAGCGGCCCTTCCATCCTATTAGAGAAACATGGTTTGTTTTTCAACATTGGCTAGTTTCCCTTTACCCTTTTTGTTTGCTTTTTTGTTTGTTTTGTTTCGTTTATTTGTTTTTGTTTTTTTTTTTTTAATTTTTTTGTCACAACATTTCAGAGGCTTTTGACACCATTTGCCTCCGAGAAAAATTTGACGATCCTCTCTCTCCCTCTCTCTTTGAAGAGGAATGTGATTTTCATTTGTTTAGATCAAAAGAAATTGATCTTTTCACAAATATAACCTATTGCTGGATTCATTTTGACCGATGTGTTTCATTCTAATTTTTAGGCTTTTAATTTTGTTAATTTTTATACTGAATTTGACTAGATGGGATGTTCTACCCACCTGATCAATGTAATATTATATAGGGCTTAACTTCTAGACACCAGATTTCCTTATTTTTGTTTTATGCCCTATTCATAGTTTGGTAGTTATTTATGGATGTGGATTTTAGAAAGTATTGTCAAAAAATAAAGGTGTCATGCTTGAAGATAACTGAAATCGTGTACTGATCAAAATGTACAAATATACATGGGATGATAGGTTCATTTCTATTCTTCCTGAAAAGGGAAAAAAATTGAAACCGAAATATAAATAGAGAGATACCTGATTTTGAGTCCAAAAATGTAAAAAAAATTTGTGACGTAAATATCCAAGAAAGTGAGATTATTGATGTTATTTCTATCCTCCCCATAAATAAAGCTGTGGGCCCTGATTGTATCAGCCACAAAATGTTAAAATCTTGTAAAGAATCCATAGCTAAGCCACTTTGTCTGTTATTTAATAAATCTCTTAGACTCAAAGTTTATCCTGAAAGTTGGAAACTAGCACATGTCCTTCCACTATTTAAAAAAGATGACCCATCAGTCACTTCAAATTATAGACCTGTATCTCTTTTGAGTTGTGTAAGTAAAATATTTGAGAGAGTTGTATTCAAACATGTATATAATTTTTTTCACACAAATAATTTGTTCTACAAATATCAGGCAGGTTTTCTGCCTGGTCACTCAACTGTGTACCAACTTTTAGAAGCATATCATACTATTGTAAAAAGTATTGATGAAGGGTAATATTGTTGTATGGTTTTTTGTGATTTATCAAAAGCTTTTGATAGGGTTTGGCATAGGGGTCTGATTTATAAATTAAAAATGTATGGTAATATGTTAGAATGGTTGGAAAGTTACTTGTACAATAGAAAACAAAAAGTTATGTATAAAAATTTATTTTCTTCTGATATTATTTCCTTATTCATAAAACAATTGTCTTTGTTCTTCTATGTACATGTATATATTATTGTAAAATTTTGTAAATGTTGTATGGCTATTGAGATATTATGTATGGGAGAGGACTATCTAAGTTGCTAGAACTTGTGTCCGATCACTTTGACATATTGTCAATAAAATATGTTCAAAACAAATTACATACAATTTTGGAATAAAGATTTTACAAGACAATTTTATTCTAATATGGAATTTCATATACGACACGTCACAGCTCTTTTTGTATATAGCTATCCAACTGGAACGGATCAAAGATCTAATTTTAATTAGAATATGTTATTGTATATGGATTTCCGTAATATCTTATCTTTTTTGATATTTGGAAAAAAAGACGGAACATATTGACCTTGTTGACGACATAAAGTATAGGAAGTAGTTAATTAAAGAGAGAAATCCCATATCTATTAACATGTATTTTTTGTCAGACATTATAGTAAATGGGCGTAAAGTTGTGAAAAGAGCTTGTCTTTTATTTATGAATAAAAAATTTGGCGTTGAAATTCAATTATCACAATTAAAGAAATTGATGAATTAAAAAAAAAAATGGGGGTTATAAAAAATGGAAAAAAAGTCAAAAAAAATATTTCCCATTTTCAAATGTTACATTATAGCATAGAATATAACACATTTCCTCTAATGTAGCCTGGTTCAAGTTAGCATACATTATTAGGAAAAAAATAATAAAAGTGTCTTATAATTTTAAAGACTTCATTCTCAATGATATGTATAATCAATATTTAAAAAAAAAAGATTTCAAAGGAAATATTTAATGATGTTTTAATCAGTTATATATTATCATTTTATTGTAGGAAATTTAATATATATTTACGAGAGACATAAGTCAGTTATACTCCTCACAAGCTTTTATTTAGGTAAACGTTTTAGCTGTTTGAATACCTTGATATTTTAGAAGGAACTAAAATAAAATTTAACAAATTCATAATTCTATAATACATAGAAATGCATAAAAAAGACCCCCGGGCTCATGATTTCTGAAGTCAGATCTTATTAGCCAGCAAGTGAAACAACAGCTTTCCAAATGATTTTCATCCCGACAGTTACGAAATGGTAGATGGTGATTTGTCATGCTCAGACAGGTGGTTTTCTGTATTTTTGCGCAGTACTGTAAAACCGTATTTTATCACATGACCAATCATGTGATATTATTCAATAAGACAAAGTAAAATGGCGGACGGGGAGGAAAGAGCTCCTCTACTTGGGAGCAATAATTCAGAGCCCCCGCCGGTTTACAGTTCCCAAGGTAGGTTTTAATAATATCAGAAGTAGATTTCTATTTATTTGTTAACAAACTTTATGACTTTCTGTTGTAAATATTTATTTTATCATAAAGTTAAAGAGGAAGTTGAAAGATGAAGGTATCTAAAGGAATTACGAAGTATAATACGGACGGGTTCAGCATCGGCTTGATGATTAAAACAACAGATATAAATCAAAGAACTCAGGGGATGAGTACAAAAACGGGGCTTATTTATTGAGAAGTAATCAGACTGTTTTACAAGAAAAATGCAATTTAAAAAAAAAAAAAAAAAAAAAAAAAAAAAAAAAAAAACTGGATGAACATGACATCTCCTTGTATAGGATAAAAGAGTATAATAGTTTATTTTACAATTTAGATAGAATTTAAGAATGTTAACAATATTTTCAAATGTATTGTTTTGGGTTCTTATTCAAACATTGATGCAGGAAGGTCAAACTTGTTGTGTGCTGCAATGCAATGATGCCTGCCTCAGAAGGAAGTTTTGCAGCAAGGTGCATGTCACATATCAGGTTCAGTGTCCCATGCATTTGTGTTAGCCTGGTAACACAATCTCTATTCATATTATGTGACAAACAGAAGGACCTAAAGAAAACTTTTTGCTTGTTTAAAACAATTACAAAACGTATGACAGTTAAATAACATGTGTGACTGAAAGCATCAATGCTTTAATAAATTATTTGTTTAAGAAATTACTTAAATTTTCATGTGTTTGTATTGTCTCAAAGATAGTTTAGAGAAATAGCTTAAGTATAGCTTTTATTTGTTAATGCATATGACTGAAGAGCCAATATGCTGTGGCTATTATTCTCAAAAATCATAAGTGTCATCAGCAGTTTAATAGAAAATTGAAATCAATGATTCCTCTTTTTGCTGCTCTCACTAGGAAAATGATTAAAGTATCTTTTGATTGTGACACAACTTGTTGGAAAAAGTTTGTTTGAGATTGGGATTTCATAGCACTTTTTCTACTGAAGTACAACTGAATGAGGAGTAGCATTCAATTGTGAGGTGTGGATAGAAATCTTGTTTCTCCATTTATCTATGTACAAATTTATTTAATTAAACATTAGGTGTAGTAGAATAGAAATAAGTCCTGAGTCATGGGTATTGTTGAAGAATATACTCTAATAATCAAGAGGTTTGTTGAGAAATAAAAACTGAGAATGAAAAATAGGTTTTTTTAAGAACATCCAGAATCTGGGTGTATATTCTCCAACAATTCCTCCAAAGTAGAAGTTGTTTCTTAGGAGCTCAAAGAAATTCACATAATAAGAGTTAAAGACACATGTGAAAGACTTTGGATCAAAATGACAAGAAATTTTTTAAGGGTGATTAAACATATTCTTAGGACAAGAAGTAAACAGTACATGTATATAATTTTCTGCATCATTATTACAGCACCACCCCCTGGTCAAGTGCCCCCACCCATCCTACCAGATGAGTTGCCACCACCATACACCCCCACCCCACAAGGTGGGATCCCCATGATCAACTGTAAAGTCTGTCAGGCGTTGATCAATGTGGAGGGAAAACAGAACCAACATGTTGTCAAGTGTTCTGTTTGCAATGAAGCCACTGTAAGCCTCTTTTGTTTTCTGTAACCTCTCCTCCCTTTTTATGAGTTTATACCATTGCTGATTATTTGAATAACTTTTCAATCAAAATCTCAAACATTTCATTCACAAAATATTTAAAACTATCTTTCTTTCATTTAAGAGGTTTAATCACCAACAATTAATTCACAAAATATTCATTACCCATATTTTCCCTTCAAGAATTTGAAAAAGCTGATGATCTTATTTATTTTTAAAATGTTACCTTACTACGTATAAAATTACATATGTAACTTGTGTGCATCTATTATTTTCAGCCAATCAAGGGACCACCCCCAGGGAAGAGATACATACGATGCCCCTGTAATTGTCTGTTGATTTGTAATAGTACAGCAGCCAGGATAGCCTGTCCAAGACAAAGCTGGTAAGGGAATTAATTAATACAAGTTGTTTGTCTACTTGGAAATCACTAATGTTTATGTCAGATTTGAAAATCACAGTATTTAAATGATTATGATTTGAAAATCAACAATGTTTATGATTTGGAAATCACTAATCTTTAAGGTCATGATTATCAATATTTAATTTTTGTTTTTATGGTATGAAGAGATACACAAAATCATTACTCCGATTTGTTAAATTTAATGAAAAGATGCAGAGTTACAACATTCAATTTGTAACATTTATTTTTTGCTAGTAAGAGAATCATCAACCTAGGCGGCCCTACTCAAGTTATTGTTCGAAGCCCAGGATCTGAGAGGTTCATCTGTGCATACTGCTCTCAGATATTTGTCGTAAGATTTCTTGTTATCATTTATTAAAAAGGATTTCACAAAGCATAAAAAAAATCCACCCATCATTCTTTCCTTCTTTAAACTTACTGGTTTGGAGTCCAGTAAAGGTAAATGAAATTCAATGTGGATGGCTAAAATATTCAAGACTTCAAAAATACTGTAAACCAACTTTTATTCGCGTGCGAGAAACATCCGCGAGTTCCGCGACCTCTTTTAACTCGCGAATATTAATCGCCGCAAACCATACATTTTGCTAAGAATTTGTAGAGAATGTTTCCTCGGTCACTAAAATTAATCATTGCGTACTGATTTTAAACTGACGAATCGCGAATAAAAGATGATGCGAATAATAGTTGGTTTACAGTAAATCCAGGGACCTATATACTAGTATATAGGTCCCTGGTAAATCCAATAATTTTGTTTTGAGATTTCTGTACAAACTATTTAGGAAATAAATATACTTGTATATATGTGTGTAATGTGTACATGTATATATATGCTGTATCACTGCAGTATATTCTACTTCACCATTTTTAATGATATGTAAAATAATATCTATTTGTCTCAATTCTTTCAGTTCAGTACACTTGGGTGGAGCCAGCTGTCTCGCTGCCCACACTGCAGTAGAGTGTAAGTTCACAGAAACCTCAAAATCTTGTATCACTTGATTCCTTTGATTTCACCTCAATATGTACTTGTAACAATCAATAATGAATATTTTCAGGTCCTCTTGTGACAGTGCATATACAAGAACTCGCTGTGTGATATACCTCATTCTGGGGATTATTTTCCTTGGAGCTGGAATTGGTGTAACTGTAAGTTTTTAGATTGGATTAACTTAGGACAGTTCTCAGGTAAGCTTAGATTTTCAGCAAGGTGTGGCATTCTCAACCTTACATAATTAGCATCTGAAATTTAACAGCTTTCATTCATTGTCATACATGGGATAGAAATTTGGGCAAATGCTAAGTAGTGTATTGATTAACCAATAACATTGTCTTGTCCGGCGAAGAGGTGGGGCTTAAGTCATCTCATCGTTGTCAACAACAATTTAAAGTTCCTGATGTTATCAATTTCTTAACCAATAAGAATCTATTTGCCATTTGAGTGACATTATTACGTAGTGCTGAGAATGCCACGCCTTACTGAAAGTCCAAGCTTACCTGAGAATTGTTCTAAATATCAATAATGCAAATAAAGACCACTTATTTATGCTTAAAGAATGCTGTTTTTTTTGTCACTGCTACTCTCGGCTTCAGTTTAATCTGACTTGTTTGCATGATTGATAGTAAGGTACATTTATCCAAGAGAAAGCACATAAAAAAATGTTCTTTTATCCAGTATTATATGATTTGTTCTAAAGTATAATTTTTGTTGAATTTCACTTAATATCATTTTACTAGGTTGGAACCTATGAGATTGCACGAGGTTCGGGGGGTATCTACACTGTGTGGATAGGTAAGTTACAGTGGTTAAATGGCTCTTTTTTTACCCTGCTCTCTTTTGTTTTAAAAAGTTGATTTTTTGGTCCACTTTTGTGATATAGATGTATTTCATTTTCCTCACAGGGGCTTTTGTGATTGGTATATTGTTTCTGATAAGAGCCGCCTACATTGGGTCAATCAGGGTCAGCCAGCGAGCTCCTCCCCGCTAACATCACCATGGAAACTAAGATGGCGCTCAGTGATTCAAACAGAGGCCACAATCATTTGTCTCTTCTCTCTCTCTTTTTTAAACTATAGAGAGTTATGAATGTACATTTGTGTAAATATTAGATATCTGCCATATAAATGCATGTGTACCGGTATATGTGTAGAAAATTTTAAAAGTATTTTACTGTTTATGAAATGTCACAAATGTCATCGATATTCTCTTTAAAAATCTTTTTCAAGTGTACTTTAGACACTATGGAAAATTATTGAATTTAAGTGAATGTATTGAGAGAGAAAAACTGTTCAAATACATGTATATGTACTAGTCTAAAACAAATGGTATTCGTATATGAATTAGGTTATCTTTTTTCTACTTAATTTTGCTACCCGGTAATATTAAAGCATCTTAATTGTTTTGTTTAACTTCAAATTGTGCTGTATCAAACTTGCCAAAGACTTTATCCGTATATGCCATTTGTATCTTTGTTTTATTGTTGCCTCATATACTTAACTGGAATTTGTTATATAGACCTCTGAGCTAGAAGTCTCAGAATTTATCGCTTCAGTAACTTAAATATATATTTATAATTTTAGCTACTTATGTATGTAAGATGACCTGTGATATATTTTTTGTTGTGTACTTAGTGTTATACATGTAGCCAGTTCTGAATCAGAGTTGTGTTTAAGTTTATCATTGTATGAATGACAAGTTTTTGTAATTTTGTTTTCAATTTCAAATATGAATGATTTAGTGTAGCAAACTGCTGACTTATTCGATAAAAGCAGTAATTAAATAATTACAAATAGTTTATACATTGTATAACCTGAGAGAGAGAGTATGAAATGATTTTTTACTTTGCCTTTTTCTTACAAGCATGATGATATGAATATGGAAAAAGTCTTTAGAAAGCTTTAATGTGTCCTTGTTTGAAAAAGAAAATATATTTCTTTGTTTTCTTCAGTGTACATTTTCAGTATAACAGTGGTACAAAACTTTGTTACATTAGTATATATTGTAATTATCAACTCACCAATAGTAACCTGTAGACAACATATTGACATATTATACTGTAAATCACTTTTTATTCACGAGAACTTTATTTTTGCGTAATTATGCGAGACAGTGTGCTCGCGAAAATTTCATTATTGCGTATGATAGTATTCCTTAAGATTATATAGAGCAATAACCACAATTCGTGAAAATTTTGTTTTCAATTTCAAATATGAAGAGTGATCTTAGTGTAGGCAAGACCGATGGACCGATCACTTTACATTCTGTGTCAAAATGACCGGTAGATGTTGAATTAAAATCCGAATTTCAAGAATTCCCTATAACCGACTGATCATAATCTGTTAAACACTTTTCAGTATCTCGTAATGGCTTCTTCGAGAGAGAGAAGTTAATAAATTGCTGTATTTTTTACTTTTTTTTCATTTCATTTCCACATTTATAAACCGGTATTCCTTTTTCTCTCTTCACTCATGTATTTTTTCCCCCTATAATCCATTCAAATTTGTGTTAGTTATATATAACTTATTGGTCATATATAAACCTGCTACTATATGTGTATTAATTAACCTTGTACCTATTTATATGTGTCTCCATTTATGTATTCTACATAATAAAATATGTTCAAAAAATCAAACAAGTACAGTTCCAAACTATGATTGATTAATTGTTTTAACAAGTTTTTGACGGCGATAAGGTATTAGCCAGGTGAGAAAAATAGAACTAGATTAAAAACTTATGAAAGAAATTGACCTCCCACGAGAATTCAACAAAATTTGTTATACGATGATCAAATTCGCATGAAGTATGCAGTGTGTATATGACGGAGGGTGCGAAATGTAATGATAATAAAATTCAAATACAGTTTTAATCTTCTTAAAATTATGTTTAATTATTTTGTTGGACTGATAAAAATCTGTCTGGACCGACAAACTTCCTGTGGCAGTCAGTCCAAATGACTGACAGTGGAAAAAAGATTTCAAGAACTCTGATCTCGCGAAAATAAGGTGTCGCGAAAATTAAGTGATCTACAGTACTCATCCTAATTGCCTTTTCAGTTATATTGCATTCCCATCAATATATTGTCCATGTTTAGGGTTTGGCTCATGTTGGCTGTGATGATGTAAATAGAAAACCAAGTGTAACCCATCGCTATCATAATCAGAACTAACCTTACTAGGGTTGTTATACACTGAAATGACATTCCTCTAACACACTCATTTAAAAAAATTGTCACATGTACATGTATATCACATGAATTGTTTGTAAAGTCAGGTGCCTGGTAGTTGCTTTACATTTTAAAGAGACGAACTACACTCTATTTTTTTCAAGCTATTGTGCAGATATAAATTTTTGATCATCACTGTGGTTGTTTGAGAACTTGTCTAGCTTATAATCACTGATGGACTGCATATCATGCTTGTTTGCAACTTATCCTGTGGGAAATTAATTTTACAGAGATTTTGTCAACCTAAAAGACCACAAAAATATGTTTACTGTGCCATACATGCACAATAGCTTGAAAGTCAACATTACAAGTACCTAAGAGTATAATGCATTTCTTTAATCCTATAAAATAAATGCTTATTCAATAATTTTACCATGGATATTGATTTCTTTTTCAAAACTCATTGATAAGTTCAGTTTGAATTCCACTAAATTGTAAATAAAGGTGTAATGATTTGTATCAAACTCACATTTGAAATAAACTGAAATGATTGACAATTCTTGGTGTTATTAATACATGTGATCACAAACTGCTGATCAAAATGAGGAGCGTTGGTAAAATGAATTTCTGTCATCTCCCCTTGGAAGAGGGGATGGCCGGGCCTTCTTTTACCCAAGGATACTCTGTGCCAAGTTTGATTGCAATTGGCCCAGTAGTTCTTCAGATGACCCAAGGATACTCTGTGCCAAGTGTGATTGAATTTGGCCTTATGTTTATGATGAAAATATGAAAAGTTTATGATGATACAAAATGGAAAGATTTTGATCAGAAAAGCTCACATCACTCACAAGAGTTACTTTGGCCATGCTGTTCTTTACCCAATTTCCCCCCTTGTAATACATATTGACCCTGCCCTTCCCCTACTGGTGATGATTTGGACAATTTAGAATCTACACTATCCCAGGATGCTTCAACATAAGTTTCAGCTTTTCTGGCTCATTGGTTCTTGTGAAGAAGATATTTAAATGACCCAAACCTATTTTTGACTTTTCTTGATTATTTTCCCTTATAAGGGGATTTGGACCTTCATTTCAAACATTTAAAATCCCATTTGCTTTTTACCAAGTTTGAATAAAATTGGCCCAGGGTCTTGTGAAGCTGAAAATGTGAAAACCTAAATCTTCACTACAAGATATGATAATATCACTTCTAGTGACTGAGCAGGTTATGCATTTCACAAGACTTTCCCCTTATATATTCTCATTTGAGTCCGACCCATGTCTACATGAAAGCTCTTAAGTCAGTCTTTGAGAAATTTGGTGCATCATTTGCTTAACTTACAGAAAAGTGGTCAAGGTAGGCTTCGTTATCTTTGTTTGCATTACTGTTTTGAACAAAGGAGCTCTTACTACTGTTCAAAACTTTTCTACAAAGTTGAATCTCCTTCATGCATGGAAGAATGCATTATGATATTTGTATTAAATCTTAATCTTATTGATTTTTGATGTCAACTAGTAGAGACCAACTTTGAGTAGAAAAATCAAGTTTAGGTTTCATGTCTGGAGCTAGAATCTTATGCCCTTGCACCTTCGACCTGACCTGAAACTGTGAATGCAGTACTAATTTCAATGAGAATAAAACAAGTCTATAGTTGCAAGTTTATTTCCAGAAATGGAACATACTTTACAAAGTTATATGTTTTTCATATTTGTCACCAAATTAACCAAAACTTTAATCTGTTTTTTTTTTTGAATGAGAATGGACAATAATATTTATAACATCAGAAGTTTACTTTAAACTCCTGTGATGCACCCATTTCAATCAAGTACCTGGAATATACATAATGCCACAATGAATGCCATAATTTTTAAATGCCATTTCAGTAATTGAAATTTGAAAGTAAAAAGTAAGCACAATCATGTTTACAAACCAGTGCACTAGAAGAGTTATTTTAAATTTCAAATAATAAAAAAACCCAAAAAAGATAATGTACATGTACTAAAATGACACACAGGTATGAGCTGGATGCTTACAGCAAAGATGAAAAGCATGAGCAAAAATTAAAATTTCAATACAAATTCTGACTGCTTCAAAAATGGAATTTTACAAACTGGATTTTGTTGAAAGACACAACCAAGAAAAGAGAGAGTTAATCACTAACCCATTTGTATAATGAACACAGCTGTGGTATGGTTATATCAAATTGTACAACATTAAAATGTTGATTGAATTATACAATACAGTAGTTTTTAACAATAATTTGGTTTTCATTGGTGAACGTTTCAGACTAGATAAGCACTATACAGCACCAATGGGACAAAGAACAATTGTCAATGTAAAAGTCTGAAGACTAGGGAGGAAGCAAAGGAAGGGGGGGGGGGGCAAAATACACAAATTTTACTAGAGAAGTAAACAATTTTTACAAAAAAAAATGACTACACGTATAGTAATTAAAAAAATAGAACAAATATACAAAAAAAAAAGAAAAAAAGAAATTCATTGGGAACACAAAAATATTTTACAGTAACAGCTACGGACTACTGACTAGAACTTAAAAAAAAATGCCACTGTGTACAACTAATTGTAAGAGAAAGACAATGGTTAAAACAAGACTTTCACACAGAACATGTACATGATATGACAACCACCTTATGTAACTGGTCCCGTATTAGAGGACATGACGACAATTGTCACACATAAACTGGTCACTTATTACAAGACACCATGACTTACAAGACATGACAACAATTGTCACACATAAACAGTTCCCTTATAACACGACATCATGACAATTGTCTCACATAAACTGGTCCCTTATTACAAGATATTATGACAATTGTCTCAAATAAACTGGTCCCTTATTACAAGATATTATGACAACTGCCTCATATAAACTGGTCCCTTATTACAAGATATTATGACAATTGTCTCACATAAACTGGTCCCTTATTACAAGACATCATGACAATTGTCTCACATAAACTGGTCCCTTATTACAAGATATTACAATGACAACTGCCTCATATAAATTGTCTCACATAAACTGGTGCCTATTACAAGATATTATGACAACTGCCTCATATAAACTGGTCCCTTATTACAAGATATTATGACAATTGTCTCACATAAACTGGTCCCTTATTACAAGATATTATGACAACTGCCTCACATAAACTGGTCCCTTATTACAAGACATTATGACAATTGTCTCACATAAACTGGTCCCTTATTACAAGACATCATGACAATTGTCTCACATAAACTGGTCCCTTATTACAAGACATCATGACAATTGTCTCACATAAACTGGTCCCTTGTTACTACACAATTCAAACATCACAACCAGTCCATTTTTTGTTCTGGATCAACAAAGCAGATATATATATGTACACACACACTGACAAAAAAGAAAAAAAACAGATATGTACTAACATATAAGGTGGAATTCTGTGGAGATTTGAATTAATGTGGCAGCCATATATAGTCTGCCCCTTTGAAGTACAAAATAGCACCTAATGGATGGGAATAAAATAAAATGAACACATCAACTGTTTCAAATTCAAAGATGGCTGTCAACTTCATACAGAACAAAATTCTGTCTTCTGGTAAAACAGCACACAAACATGACCACAGTTTTAGCTTCATTCATCACTACTCAAATATTTGCTGACTTCAATTGTTTTTTTTTTTCTAGTTTGTAATAAATCCTTTTTATCAATACTCCATTTGGATCACTGAATCAACCAGGTCTTCCAAAGCCACCCCTTGGCTTGCCTGTCATATTTGTAGTCCCAGCCTGTGAACAATCACTGAAGTCTTGAGGGATAAAACTAGCACCACTTCCAAACACCGCCTTTCTGTCTCCTCTGCTTGAAGATGACGCAGGTAAGCCGGTTTGTGGAAATCCCTGATGTGTTCCAAACTCAAATTTTGATGTTGGGTACAGGAAGCCATTTTCTGATGATGAGGATGAATCCTCTGCGTTTTCTGGCTCTGCTAATCTGTCCAGGAAGTTGTTCACTTCATCACAATTCTTTCTTTTCTCCCGAGCTTCTCTAAAAAGTGTATCTGATGGCCTGGTGAGGTCTGCCCTAGAGAAATATTTCTTTGCCTACAAAATAAAACTTTCCATATCAAAATAATGTCTGCATGTGTACACATTTCAAATTTAATAAGATCAGGTCATCTACAAAGAAACTTGAATGTGTAAATTTTGAAAATAACATGGTCAAAGTTAAGACAAAGGTCAACAGTAATGGATACAATTCAAACATATCATACATGTATATGTGTAAGTTTAAATATTTTAAGCAGAAAAGTAATTCCTAATGCATATTACCTACAGCTAAATCAAATTGCTGCCAAATGAAAGATGAACAGAGAACAATTCTATGGAACAATCTAGAATTGCATGTACAATATGGTCAAAAATCAAAATGGTTTTTCATTTATATATAGTTTTAAAATTACATTTCTTTTAATACTAATGTTTGTGTAAAGTAACACTGAACATCACCTCAGAAAGGCAGACCTCTGGGAAAATCTTCAGTAGATATGACATCTCAGTAGGTTTCTGTTTGGACAAAGGACAATCTGCCAGCTTCAGTAGTTCCTCACGACTGTAAGGTATTTTCTCTTTTTCCTCCAGGTCATCAGAATCTAATCAAAAAAAAAAAATTTTCAAACCTAAGCAATCATGGTAAGAGTTCAGCAAAAAAATTGTATTCAGAAACTCTCTGTTTTTCAAGAAGGGGTTCAGCAGCAATCTTAATAATTGCTTTTGAATCTATGGCACTCAAATAAAACCAGTTTTCATATCCCTTCAAATAGAGCCAAGGAAAAGCTTTTTGGATCCCAATAAAATTCAGATATAGAGAGACAGGCATGAAAACCACGAATATACAGTACATGTTCTTTGACTTGATTCTCTATTTTCATAAAGTGCCTACCTATATCTTCAAAACAAACAGCAGTGTTGTACTTTTTGAACATAGATCTTCTACCAGAAGCTGAGTAAATACTTTTAGGGAGGCCCTTCTCTACATCAGCTATCGATGAGGCGTCACTTCCAGGCCCCAAAGGAGTTCTCTCAACCACAAGCTGAAACATTAATTTACATTACTGCTTGATCTCTTTAGTAAATGAAAGGAATGGAATTCTTTCAAATAAGCTTTGTAAAAATACATTGAACAAGAGGCCCATGGGCCACATCGCTCACCTGAGAAGCTTTGACCATTCTGTTCTTTATCAGATTTCCCCCTTTTGATACATATTGCGACCTCACCCTACCCCCACTGATCATAATTTAGACATTTTGAAATCTACATTACCCCAGGATGCTTCCATGTGCACATAAGTTTCAGCTTTTCTGGCCCAGTGGTTCTTAAGAAGATTTTCAAAGATTTTCCTATATATTTCTATGTAAAACTTTGATTCCCCATTGTGGCCCTGCCCTACCCCCGGGGGTCATGATTTGAACAATTTAGAATTTACACTACCCCAGGATGCTTCCAGATAAGTTTCAGCTTTTCTGGCCCAGTGGTTCTTGAGAAGAAGATTTTCAAAGATTTTTCCTATATATTTCTATGTAAACTTTGATTCCCCATTGTGGCCCCGCCCAACCACCGGGGGTCATGATTTGAACAATTTAGAATCTACACTACCCTAGGATGCTTTCACATAAGTTTCAGCTTTTCTGGCTCAGTGGTTGTAGAGAAGAAGATTTTCAAAGATTTTTCCTATATATTTCTATGTAAAACTTTGATTCCCCATTGTGGCCCCTACCCTACCCCCGGGGGTCATGATTTGTACAATTTAAAATCTTCACTATCCCAGGAAGCTTCCACATAAGTTTCAGCTTTTTTGGACCAATGGTTCTTATTTTTCCTATATATTTCTATGTAAAACTTTGATTCCCCATTGTGGCCCCGCCCTACCCCCGGGGGTTGTGATTTGAACAATTTAGAATCTACACTACCCCAGGATGCTTCCACATAAGTTTCAGCTTTTCTGGACCAGTGGTTCTTAAGAAGAAGATTTTCAAAGATTTATCCTATATATTTCTATGTAAAACTTTGATTCCCTATTGTGGCCCGCCCTACCCCCGGGGGTCATGATTTGAACAATTTAGAATTTACACTATCCCAGGATGCTTCCACATAAGTTTCAGCTTTTCTGGACCAGTGGTTCTTGAGAAGATTTTTTAATGACCCCACCCTATTTTTGTCTTTTCTTGATTATCTCCCCTTGTGAGGAGACTTGGCCCTTTCTTTTAACAATTTAAATTCCCCTTTACCCAAGAATGCTTTGTACCAAGTTTGGTCAAAATTGGCCCAGTGGTTCTTGAGAAGAAGTGGAAAATGTGAAAAGTTTACAGACGGACAGACAGACGGACGGACAGACGGATGACGGACAAAATATGATCAGAAAAGCTCACTTGAGCCTTCGGCTCAGGTGAGCTAAAAATTGCCTACTCTGACCCCTATGCAATTCATTTTACTGTAAATTCTTATCTTACTTTCATTCAAATTTTACCATTTTCCATCCATTTCTACTTGATGCATTCCCAAACCCTGCCTCTTCTGACACAAAATTTTTTCCTAGTGCATGCCAGATTAGACAGCTTTCACTGTATTGACCATCAAAATCTACATTTTATTTACCTTTCCATTTCTGTTGCTGTCCGTATTTTGAAATTTGCGAATGAGATGCTTAGGTCTCTTGGGAATAGCAGCCAACTCTTCATGACCCAATTCTTCCTCCGGCACTGTGGACATTTTCCCTGGAAACCCGAAACCCACACGATTAGGAAGTTTTCTCCAGGACTCCTGATCTGCACCATTAGTAGGTGGCCTTCTTTCAAATGTTCTCTGACCGTTAAATTTGTCTTCGGAACTCCTCGTCCATCTATCAGACCTGGACCTGGAATCACTGAATCCTGTCCTTGACTGAGTGTCCATTCTGAGATGGTCTTTGAGTTTAGTGAATTCCCCCCTCTGTATGCTCTGACTTGTGTCATTGATGTCTTTCGGTTTTCTCACAGTGTCACTCCAGTGCCTCTCTGTGGAATACAACGGCTCTTTTTCTTCCACAACTGTAGGTTGACCAAAGTGTTTTGACAGAAATTCATGGTTTTCCTTAAAGAAAAAAAAGAAGAATATTTTTGATTTATTACATATGCATTACATATTTTCAAAATCAATGACTGTACTCAAAAAGCATCCATGTCAGTACAAGTGCCCTAATTCTAAAAATTGATTCCTTTGACTGATATCTATGAATTCTCTTTTATAGTCATTAACAGTGCAAGCCTTAATGCACTGAATTTTACATTCAATTTAAAAGAAATACTTAACATATCTGTGAGTTACCTTCTTAGACCCCATTTCCACTGCCAATATTTCAATGTCTGGATCTATTGATAAAGTAAAAGTACATTATAGATTTCTGAAATCTAAACAATTACCTGATATGACAGTTTTAAAAGTAACTCAGATTCTACATCTATAACCAACTCAGTGAGAATCTTACCTTTCTCTGTATTTTCATCATCATTGGTCTTCCTGCAAAAACACAAAAAGAATTTCATTATCTCAAATACTGATATTTTGAGTACCAGAGGTTGACAGTTCTATCTTTTTCTTCTTTTTTTTCCCTTTCTGACTTGAATCTTCCGATACTTTAGATTAATCACAGTAAAGTTGAGTTCAAAATTGGATTTTTTTTCAATTATTCCTAATATCTATAGATGTATTACTGTATACATGTAGCTTGTTAGGTTATCCAATTAATTTCACCACCTAAACTTTTAGCAATTTAAGAATACATAAATTCCTGTAGGATTATCTTATCCAACAATTTTTGAATTACGAAACTGTAAATCACTTTTTTATTTGTGAAAACTATTTTTTTTTTGTGCAATATTACACAAAGCAGTCAGCTGGCAAAAATATCCCAAATGTGCTTTCTTGTTTTTTTTTTAAATAAAGATCTGACTTAGAACAATGGGAATAGTTCGAAAATGTTGTCTTGCTTATATATAAATGCAAAATCACTATCTCATGAAGAAAAGGTATCTGGAAAATGGTGATTTACAGTACATTGTACAGAACAAAAAAACTACCTACAGATTCTCACTGGCATCCTCAATAAATGAATCCTCTGTATTCCACAACACTATATCATCCTGGTCACCATAACCAGAATCTTGACTCTGAAACATAATGTCAAACAATTCATGAAAAAGAGATGGACACAAATTCCAAAGTCCCTGCTGAGTAAATTATCTTTCCCCCTTTTCATACAGTACAGAGAATCAAAAGTTTACTAAAAATCCAAGCTCTTTTAATCCAGGCCAAAAAAAAATTAATTTCTTGGTTCTCAGGCCCTCCCTCATCTCTTCCAAGGGTGCCTCATTGACCCTTTTTATTGCTAAATCAATAAAATAAAAACAACAAATCACCTCCCTCATCATTTTTTGAGGTTTTGTACAATGTAAAAAGCTGCCTCATCATGTTTTGGGGACGATAAAAAGTAAAAAACAATGCCTCCCTCCCTCATCATATTTCTTGAAAAAAGGCCTGAGAACCAAGGAATTAATTTTGCATGGCCCCAAGTACATATTTTAATAACCTTTGAAAAATTCCAACACAGAGATGGTTTATTCTAGAAATTCAACATTGGTATTAAAAAGAAAATCTGTTGTATACAGTATACCATAACTATAATAATATTTCCTTAATTCAATTGATATTATCATAAACAAACAGTCGATATTCTACACACATATGCATTAAAAATAGAACTATGCTTACGATTGCTCGACAGACTTTACTTTCTTCAATCTTCACAGACTCATTTACATTCACAGCTTTTTGCTTCGTAGTTGAATTGGATTCTGTCTCAGTATTTCCAACATCCTATTATAAATCATGTATTTTTTTTTTTATTTTTGTTTTAAACCATTCTTGCGTTTCCATATATTTGTTATAAATGTGAATCAACTTAACATGCATTTGCAGTATAGTTCAAAACAGGAAAAAATAATTTGAAATGACATTATGTCTACAGTTCTGATAGTCAATATAACAAGTTTACTCCAAACAAATGTGAAATGTTCTTTTCATCATACTTTCTCTACAGCAAAAAACTTACAAAAGTATGTGGTACAAAAATTTACCGCAGGTGGTCTATCAAATGACCTAAATATTGTCTGAATTGTTTATACGAGGTATCTCTTGACTCTTTCACTTAACTAGAACAACACACCTTATTATTCCTGGACATCTTCTCGGATTGTTTATTCCTGGATTGCCTGTGGAGGTCTAACATTTCTCGTAACACGGCTCGCACACTGGCGTCATTGCCGTCTCTCTTTAGAAATTCCTCCACACAGGCCAAACTGCTTCTTATGAAGGCTATTCAAAGAGAAGGGAGACAAAGCAAATTGAATGGAAAAAAAATATTAAAACAAAAAATATCTGCATCTGCAAGTTTTGCAAACGTCTTTTTCTTGCAAATATTTCTTGTTGTAAACCAATTAAATGTAGAATGTTGCCTTGATTGCAAAAATTAGTAGTTACAGTTGGATTTTCAACTGAAGCATTGCAAGTAAAAGAAATTCGTTTATAGTAGTTTGTGCTCTTTTTTCAATTACTGGATAAAAACTTCTTAAATGTCATTATTTTACAGATATCATATTGGCAGTGAGAGTAGATGGTCTACCTGGATTTTCCTTCTCCAGCTCTGGCCCATACTTCACTACAATGTCTCTGAATGAGCCAGCACTTGTCTGGTCTAAAGAATCCAGCCTCTCTATTGCATTTAGGATTTTATCTATGAAATGAAAATTAGAGAATTAGGGAGCTTGATTTCCTACTTGGAGAGAGTCAATGAAAAGTCGGGATTATGATAAGGATTAAGAAATTAAATATTTTAAGAATTAGATCCCCAATCTCTTGATGATCCTGTTATAAATTCTATAAACAGTCAAACTTCGTTATCTCGAACCTGATGGGACTAAGAAAAAACTTCGAGATATCAGAGGATTCGAGATATTGAAGGTTAAATACTTAAAGAATTTGAGGTTGGGACTTCCAAATCACTTGGACATATCCATGGTATTCGAGATATCAGAGTTCGAGATACCAATGTTCAACTGTATTAGTTCTTCAAAAAAAAAAAAAATAAAAGAAAAAAATTATGCTTACAAAATAAACAAAACCTTAATTTTACAAGAAGATGAAATTTTTTAACGATGAATACCTTCTGCCTCTTCTGATGATTGTATGCTAGAGTAATCAGATGACATTTTCTGTTCCACATTGTTGTTTACTTCTATAGTGGCAAGACTAGTGTCTTTGGAGGCAACATTGCTGCGCAGTGGTCTTGGTTTCTTTAATTTGGGGGTTCTTGGTGCCCGTACTCTCTGCTTCAAATCTACCAATGAAGATACATTTTTTTTCATGGTTTCCAAACGTAATCCTCTTAATTCAAATACTAACCCGGTTATCTATCTAAAAATTATAATATAGGTCATTTTACCGACTAAAGCATAAAGGAACAAAGCATCGCGATCCTTGAACGCTTGATTGGAAAAAATGATAATCAGTAGTCCATGTCATACTTATCATTAAATAAACATGTATAGTTACAGTACCTAACACGGGAAATAAATATGTAGGGCCATCCTTAAAAAATTGTTTTTTTGCGGTAACGCGAAAATTTTTTTTATCGGTTCAAAAATCTTCTTTTTTTTTTTTTACATATCCATTTTCCGTTTTTATCCGATTGATATTTTTTTTTTACGTCTCGGTTACACCGACGCTTTATCTTTCCCCCAAGTACTATTAAAACGTCTCTGTGATCTACAAATTTAGAGATGGCGTCCGATTGCGAGAAATATTGACTCTATAGTTCTGTCAGTTACAGTAAATTTTAAAGGAAAAACATCTTAATTACTAGACAAAAAAAAAATATAGTACGTCAGTTCCACCTTACAGAAAATGGTATGACATTTATGGTGGCAGACAAAATTCCACGTGGGATGATTGCGGTTTACAGCTAATTATAAACTATCAAAATCTTAAACCTCGTAAATATCACACCCCCGAAACACTAGATTAGTGTGGAGTCAGTTATTTGAGGTACGTGGCTGATGTCACTTTTTAAGGAAAAGTTTGCCTAAAAAGAACTGATCAGTGATGTGTTCTGATATTTGAGCAATAAAAGATTGAATTCATTTAGAATGCTTTAATTTTCCTGTTTGATAAGTAATGTGAAAATTGAGACATAGTTAATACCTCTATATCATCGAAATTTATTTCTGACATTTTGTCTCCAAAAAAAAAAAAAAAGCCTACCTACCTACTCACACCTAAAATGATGAGGCGCGTTACCGCAAAAAATAAATTTTTTAAGGATGGCCTAGTTAGTATTTATTACCATTATCATCCAGTACTTTGTTACTGACATTGGACAAGCAGTTGAGGCCAGCTGGACCAAATCCTTGTGTCAATTCACCGCTTTTCTCTATATAGTTATTATTCAGCTCCAAGGATCTGCTCTGCTCCAACATGGAGAGCTCTCGAATTCCATTGTTAAAATTCCTGTTTCCAAGGTGGTTCAATATGGCCTCTGTTTTAATATTTAACTTTCTTGGAGGGGGTTTACTCAACTTTACACCCTTTGGGGCACTTGCCTTAAATCCAAGCATTTCCATGGCTCTATAAAAAAAAAAAAGACAAAGAATTAAAAAGAATTAAACATCACATTCAAAACAGATTAAATTTGATCAACATCAATCATCAGAAAACAATATTTTACTTATCAAATCTTCCTTGAATACCCTTTAGTGATGTAAATAAAGCACAATTCACTCAGCATAATAGAAAACAATGTACAGGTTGAGTGAATTGTCAATCCAATTCTGAAGATGAGAAGATAACAGTAAATTGTATATAATATTTACGAATACATTTTCACCCTACCATTTTAAGAATCTAGGGTTCATGTTTCCACCATCATTTAAAAAAAAAAAAAAAAAAAATTGTATAGAAATTCATCAACTGGGAAAATTCCAGAGGGGATCTCGATCCCAATGATAAAAAATCTAATTAAATTGGGACATAAGATAGCACCTTGCTTCACTCCTCAATTCCTAGACATTACATCAATTATTATAAATGTTGATGGTATTTAATCCCATCACATTCAATTTTATATAGTGAGGGGGCTTGGTGATGACTAGCTAGTGATACTGTAATGGGTGGTCACTTCATGTGTCAGAGAATAATGGTGTGCCTTTTGCTCTTTATTTCAACATTAACATATATTAGATCTGACATTTTAATTTCCAGCATCATTTAGAATGTGGTAAAAATTTCACATTATCCAAGCTATTAAAAATGTTCCAAATCCATTGAAGTTGACTGAATAAATCTTTATTTCACCCAAGGGTCGGTCTCAATGTCTTATCATAAAGATGTAAATAAAGTCAAAATTAAAAGGAAAAAAAAACAACAAAAAATTAAAAAATAGTAATAAGTTAAAAATAAATAAATAAATAAACTGTGACCAAAATGTCAGATAATTGATAATTGATAATTAGTCTTTTGTCTTTAAGGAACTATAGTTTCATTTGGTGATATATAAGAAATGTCAGTCACTAATTTCTTATCTATATTCCTTTTTCTATTGGTAATTCTAATTAATCATGGGTCACATTATTTATCTATGCTTGTTTCCCAAAGTAAATCTGCACTAACAGATATTTCTAAATTATTTATAACAACATAACATAAATGCCTGTTTCTCATTATGATAGTAAAAGTTTGAAACTAAAGCGGTTCCTAAAAAAAAAAATTAATGTTTTTTTTTCTCTTAAGCAACAAAATGCTTCTTTTCTCCCATTTCAACATGATTATTAATTTATCATCCTGTTAACTAAAACTTGATAGCATATATATATCTTACCTCACAGATAACATAAATTAAGTTGCAATAAGATTGTTTGTAAAATTCCCACGCTATTCCATTTCTTTCTCCTTCTGGTTTTTATCAAATGTGTAATTCATGTTGACAGCTCCAATAAACTTACAAAAGTGCTTTGTCATGCAGTTTCATGAGTCCATGAACCACAAGGGAGGGGGAGCAAATATACAAATTATTGATTTTACTTACTTACAATTTTCCCCCATTATTTTATACACCCTGGCCAGTGGAAGCATTGACAGAAACCCAGAGTATGTCTTCACAACAAAGGAGAGATGTCACCACTAATTGGCAGATTAACAAAGTGAGTTAAAGGAAATAATATACACAGGATGTGTGTAATCTGCAGGGGTATGGGATTCCCTGCCGTGACACTAACTCACAGGTCCCAATGTTTATAACTCAGCATGCCTTAATGGGGCTTTACACTGCATTAGCTCAGTATGTGTCCAAATACTTATCTATACTCTTCCATTGTCTTTCAATACAGATTATCTTAATTAAGATAATAAATACATTCACTACAATTTAGATTTAAGACTCATTCATACAAAATTTACAAGAAAACTAATGGTTTTTCATTTTCTTTTTATCCCCTGAAATATTTACACAGCAATGGATGAAAGAGAAAATTCTTATCATTCAAATGTTTTTCTTTCTTGATCTTATTTATAAAGCAAGCACAAGGTTGTAGTGCCATCCTCTTTCCAAACAATGACATCCCATTAATAATTTCACTTTGTTGTGAATGTAAAAATTATGGACCCTTTGATCATGTTGAAGGAACAGTACACAACAAACCTATATTTTCACATATTTTGTTATTGTGTCTCTGGTGTTAAGATTGGTCATCATAGTAGAAATTTGAGACTGCGCCATCATGGTTCAGTTGTCTGTTCAGTAATTTAACATTAGAGAGATAAATATATGAAATCTGTGCTAAGGATATGTGGATCTTAAAACTAGAGACATTTATAAAATTGAAAAAACTTGCAAATCTTGCAGTCCCTACTTACTCTTTTAAAAAATTCTGGAATTTTAAATAAATAACATTAATCTTGAAAATTATTAATGATAAAAAAGAGGACGGTCACCTCATATACATATAAGTAAATAAACATATCTAGACTATGGTAGAGTTGGGAATCTCTCTCATCAAAATAACACACCTAGCTAGCTCGCACAAAGAATTGCCCTCAGCAATGATTGAACTCTGATCGGCACAGCTTTGACATTGCACAATTCATATACCACATAAACATCATAAATATTTAGACCCATCTTAATTTTGTAAACAACAATTTTTAAATAATTATTTGGATGAAATTCAGTAAATTTTCATTAAAATTCTTTTTCATCTTTTTTTCTTTGAGTTGTCAACACAGTTTACAAAAAATTGTGTAATTTATTTTCAGATTTTGAAATTCTAAAAGCTTTCAAAAACTTCTCTTAGTCTGGCACTTCAGTAATGGAAATTAAAAAATAGGCCCCTATTTCATTTTCCTAAACACAAAAAAAATTAATTTTATTATAAGCAGATGTTGCACAAATAAGAAATAACCAATGTAGAAAAAAGCATATAACGGTGCCCTTTTATTATCACTGTCCATTACCTGATCGAAAAGTCACTGACTTCACTTGATTCATTGACTTCTAAAAAAAACATTGAACAGTGCAGAACAATGGCACACTGCCCCCTGGGGCAAGGTAAGGTTTTCGTCTACTCCAGTCACTTTTTTTTTTACAAATACTCATGACAGGATACAAATGCACCATAAAACCTGAAAAAAGTTGCATTTCACTTACCAATACACGTGTCTTTCTTGCTCTGCTTGTATCATGTGTGTTTTGATAAACATTGAAGTTCTCAGTGCATTTCGACAGAACGCGCCACCACGACAGCACGAGCCGAGTTTTTTCTTAGGAACCAAATCCGGTGACCTCTCTTTTTCCGGCTGACCACATGGCCCTTTTTGTGTGTGTGTGTGTGTGTGTTTTTAAAATAAATAAATTACTGCTGAGAAAAAAATACAAATTAAACAAAATCTTTCACGTGATTTATTCTTTCAGTCACAATAAATTATATTTTCTGTCCGACATTCCCAAAGCTTTTTATATTGATAACAGTTTTAGCTCACCCGAGTCAACCATGATATTTAATTGAAAGGTATTTGAAGAAGGATATGGAGATAACGAACAGTATTCAATCTCAAAGTCCATAAAACAATACAAAACAAGAGCATAGCAAACACGGACCTCCGAAACATCAGAGGTGGGATCAGGTGCCATGGAGGAGTGAGCATCCCCTGCTGACCAGTCACACCCGCCGTGTGCTCATTGTCATGATCGTGAAATAATGGAAAAATCCGTCGTCAATTCAGTGTATAAATAATAGACTAACAATTGGTATGAAAAACGTCACCCAGCATTTGACTCAAAGATAAATTGTATTTCAGGGACGTAGCAACAGGGGGGGGGGGGGGGGGGGGGCCTGCCCCCCACTTTTTCCCCCAACATTACTTTTACTATAGAAAATGTTCATTGAAGGGATGGTTGGCTCCCCCACTTTTTTTCCATCGTATAGTGATATCAAAGAATTGTAAGAAAAAAATTGGAATTAAAAGTAACTTGGCTTTGAAAATGTTGGCCACCCCCCCCCCCCCCCCCACACACACACACACGAAATAGGTTTTTCGAGTTTGGGCATTGGGCAACTTTTAATTTTCGTTTTTTTTTTTTTTTTTTTTTTTGCTTGTCAACTTTTTCAGGGTAGTAAAAAAATTTTCTCTGGTTGCCCCCCCCCCCCACTTTCAAAAACGATGCTACGTGCCTGTATTTGCTGACAAGGTCATTGTATCGACCATAGAACTTACGAAATGGTGACTTTAAACGAGACTGCTGATATTCTTGTTTCTTCAACTTGCTTGTCAATAATTTACCTCGTTTCAGAAGTTGTTCATACGCAGAGCATTCTCTTGCGTATCGAATCAACTGAGATATATACACTCTGTATGCAGGTGATGAAGGTATATTGCTTCATAAGTAAAGAAAGTTGACGATAGAAAAGTTAAAGTCGTCACGTTTATCTATGGCACGCCAAATTCAGAAAAATTAGCTAAACCTAGTTTCACAATTGATAAACTAGGTTAATCGACTGTAAACTATAGTTTACAAACCGTAAAGTATAGTTTTCATCTGTAAAACTATATTTAACGGTTGTTAACTATAGTTTACGCATGCTAATCTAAGTTTATCTGTCTGTAATAAAACGTTAACAATAGGTTTTGTTGATAAACATAGATTCACGTTTGTAAACTATAATTTACGATCGTTAACTATAGTTAAGAGTTGTAAACCATAGTTTACAAATCGTGAAACTGTGTTTATCAGATAATCTATGTTTTGCGATCGCAAATGATTGTTTTTGGTGTTAAGTATAGTTTACGGTTCTGAAACATAGATTATCGCGTTAACTATGGTTCACAAATGTAAAATATAGATTAACGTTGTAAACTACAGTTTACAGTTCGTAAATTATAGTTTACAACCGATAAACCTAGTTTATCGACTGTGAAACTATGATTAGCTCATTTTTGTGAATTTGGCGTGCTAAACATAGTTTCACAATTGATAAACTAGGTTTATCGACTGTAAACTATAGTTTACAAACCGTGAACTATAGTTTACAATTCGTTAAGTATAGTTATCTTCTGTAAAACTATATTTAACGGTTGTTAACTATAGTTTACGAATGCTAATCTAAGTTTATCTGTCTGTAATAAAACGTTAACAATAGATTTTGTTGATAAGATAAACGTAGATTCACGTATGTAAACTATAATTTACGATCGTTAACTATAGTTAAGAGTTGTAAACCATAGTTTACAATCTTGATACTGTATTTATCAGATAATCTATGTTTTGCAATCGCAAATGATTGTTTTCGGTGCTAAGTATAGTTTACGGTTGTGAAACATACATTATCGCGTTAACAATAGTTTACAGATGTAAAATATAGATTAACGTCGTTAACTATAGTTTACAGTCCGTAAACTATAGTTTACAATCGATAAACCTAGTTTCACAATTGATAAACTAGGTTTCTCGACTGTAAACTATAGTTTACAAACCTAGTTTATCGACTGTGAAACTATGCTCTGCTCGTTTTTGTGAATTTGGCGTCTCATATTTATCATATATTAAACTTGGTTGTTATTAGGTTACCATTAACGATTTTTTTCAAGTAAAATATCTAAGTGTGAAACAGATGTGTCAGACTTTGTGCACATGGTATCTTTCATCACAAGTTCTCCTGGAAATATTGTATCGACGTAGGAATGGAAATTACCTTTGTTAATTGACAATACGTCATCGATATATCTGAAAGTCGAGTTGAAGCCACAGCAAGTCTTTCCTTCTTTTCACGCATAAGATTTTTGCATACATCCTGCTTCATATGAATACAAAAATAGGTCTGCTAATAACGGAGCGCGATTGGTTCCCATGGGAATTCCAATAGATTGTTGGAAGACCTGGTCTCCAATAACCACATAGATATTGTCAATCTGAAACTCAAGCATTTTCTTGATGTCGACTTCAGAGTACTTGTGTGTGCAATCAGAATCTTTTTTAACAAAATACTTTTGCAAATGACCAATGACCAGATAAGTAAATTTACGAGTTCCATTTTTATTGAAAAAGCAGCTGTCAATGATATCAAAAAGCCTGGATTTTAATTTATCGTGGGGAATGGTTGTGTATAAAGTTGAAAAGTCGTAAGTTTTTAAGCTGTTGATTTTGGTAAAATCTTGTGATTTCAGATTGTCCAAAAGTTCTTTTGAATTTTTTAGTATCCACATCTGATTCACACCACTTCTTGAATACATGTATATGGTTGCACAGTACTCGTGAAGTTTTTCCTTCACTACTGTCAATATCTTAGTGAGGAGTAACGAAAGAGGCTTGGTTGAACATTTACTGGAACCCGCAATGTATCTTTGTTTGTAAGGATTCTATACAGAAAAAAAATCCATTCAAGTTATCTTTTATGTAATCACTGCACAAGCCATCTTGATATTAATATAAGATTCAACTAAAAGAAATATTTTTCTACATGAAAAATATATGTTTTTGTACTTTTATATAACTCCAGGGTCAAGGTCAGATGTTCAAAGTTGTTGGTTCCTGAACAAAGGATTACATATGCGAAGCCCTAGCCCAAAAGTTATGACCATTTTTTATTTAATAAAGAAGGTCAACCTCCAAGGTCAAAGTTGTTGGTATTTAAGGATATCCGATCCTCAGCCAGGAAGGATAACTCCAAAAATTAATATTTTAATTTGAATACTTGATATCGCGATTATTTTAACTTAGCGGAACTCTTTCGCGATGGAGGTAGGAAACGTCTGTTGGCTGGGGGCAAATGTGCTATTCAATACAATGCAAGAACGATCAATGTAGAATTTATAAGGACAAATAAGTAAAAAATCCTGGTGAAATGCCTTGCTAAACAATCGCTGAACCAGCCTAATAAATTTTTGAGAGGAGCCAATCCTTATTTGTTACATTTTTAATGATATTTTTAACGAAGCGGACTCTTCTCGTTAAATTTTCATTGAAATTCGTCACATTTTTAAGAAGATAAAATATTCTAAACTTTCCTTATTTGACAATCTACTATTTGGCGTTCAATATCTGGCAAAACATTGTGCTTTCGACCTTAAATTGTTAGAATCATTCGATTGTCACTACTGTAAACAATGCCATGTGCCCCAGAAATTTAGACCTTTCTCGACTCCCCCGCTAAAGAGCGGTAGTAAGTTAGATAACTGTGAGGTACTTATTGGTACTCGCGATATCACGTATTGCATCGAAATGAAGCTTGAAAATAATTTTTTTTTATGCAACAATTTTCATTTTATTCATTTTTGTAAGATTCAATGTTTTTGGAAGTCTTAGAAAAGGTCTTATAAAAGTTGACATTTGCACCCTATAAAAGGAAAAAAATTAATACAGTTTTAGAGAAATAAGATTTTCTTAAATCCAGACTTAGAAACCAATGCTTATTACATGATATTGAATAAGAAGTGATTTGTGGTGTCTTGCAATGATAGCAAAAACCTTTTAAACTAAATATTATAGAATATATGACGGATATAGGAGACAAAAATACCAAATAAGTATAAAAATCATGACAATTTCTCTGAATGCCTGGATACCTATCGTTTATTAACCTAACATATATTTGCTGATCAATTTGCAATTAGAAAATGCATTGCTGATATTGCAAAAATATTGGAGATTTGACAATTTTCCCTATGTAGTAAGATTAACTTTAATCTTTAACTTAAAAGAAATACTGTGGATAAATTTACATAACTTTGTGGATTCAGAGATATTTTTAAGTATGGCACGCCAAATTCACAAAAATGAGCTAATCGTAGTTTCACAGTCGATAAACTAGGTTTATCGGTTGTAAACTATATTTTACGGACTGTAAACTATAGTTAACAACATTAATCTATATTTTACATCTGTAAACCATAGTTAACGCAATAATCTATGTTTCACAACCGTAAACGATCATTTGCGATTGCAAAACATAGATTATCTGATAAATACAGTTTCACGATTTGTAAACTATAGTTTACAAACCGTTAACTATAGTTAACGATCTGATAAATAAAGTTTAACGATTTGTGAAACTATGATTAACAACTCTTAACTATAATTTACGATCGTAAACTATAGTTTACAAATGTGAATCTATGTTTATCAACAAAATCTATTGTTAACGCTTTATTACAGACAGATAAACTTAGATTAACATTCGTAAACTATAGTTAACAACCGTTAAATATAGTTTTACAGGTGAAAACTATACTTAACGAATCGTTAACTATAATTAACGAATCGTTAACAATAGTTTACGGTTTGTAAACTATAGTTTACAGTCGATAAACCTAGTTTATAAATTGTGAAACTAGGTTTATCTCATTTTTGTGAATTTGGCGTGCCATATTTAAGAGTATTTTTGATTACTTAACTGCTAATTTTATAAACCTGAGGATATATACCAGGTAGGACTACCTTAATAAAAGGTCTTTTATCAAAAATTAAATATATGAAGTATGAAAGCCCCAGCCCTAATTCTTCAAAAGTTATGGTCAATGATTGTTTTAAAAAGTAGGTCAAGGTCAAATGGTCAGGTCTTGGTATCCAATAAAAGGTCTTCTCACAAGAATTACATAACTACGGTAGATTGAAAGCCATAGCTCTTAAAAGTTATAGCCACAAATAATTTTTTTTTAAAGTACAGAAATCTCCAAGGTCAAGGTCAAAGTTGTTGGTGTTCAATGGAAGGTCATGTCACAAATAATTTATATATGAAGTATGAAAGCCCTACTGTTAAATAAATATGGCCAAAATAAAGTTTGGAATTTTAGTTTAAAAGTGTGTCAAACTCCAAGGTCAAGGTCAAATTTGGTAGTGCCCAAAGAAAAGTATTGTAACATGGAACACATATGTGAAATATGAAACTCATATCTTCACTAAATCCATAAGTTATGGGCATGTTACTGTTTAAGTTTTTGCAGACGAACAGATAAACAGACAAAAAGACGCCGGGACGGACACGACAAAACTATATACCAGATCTTCAGTTACGGGGCATAGGAAGAAATAATTCTAGTAAAGGATGTCTTATAGCAGACAGGTATTGTATGGCGACGTGATCTTGTATTCTGAGCTGTAAGGAGCTTTTTATGATCGGGTTCAAGTAAAGGAGGATCGGGATCGGTGTAAACATCCGGGCCATTTAAATATGTCTGCGCCCGTAACACGAGTTCGGGAAAATGTCATATTTCAAAAGATTAGTTTCCAGAAAGGTAAGTCAACCTTTTTAACAATTTTACAGATAAGACTTTCGGTTGGCTTACATATGCCTAGTGCGTGAATATTCTTGACCCACGTCAGCTAGTAAATTAATCGATTAATCGATGCATCATGCTTGGCATTAAATATTTGTAAGTTCCATCAGCTTTAACTTAAAAGATTAAAAAAAACAAAGGTTTGTTTGCGAATATCCACTCTAATAATACTTGTCAGATAGAGTGTACATGTGTGTGAAAACATTTGGGAGACAGAATGTAGAAAAATGAGTAAAAGTTTGTGATTTTTTCTTTCCGATGCTTGAAACTTCCATGCAATCTTGTATAAATTGTATGAGATTTACTTTCAGTAAAAGGTCATTCTTGGTATAAATTGCTTATGACTTGAGAGTGTGACTAGACCTTGACCAAAGTCATTCTTTCAATGTCCAGGGTCACTGCCCAATAATGCGTGTCTGTACTACATTGTAATATAAGATATCTTTGATAAAGAAATGCCAATGACTTCAGGGTATGACTTGACCTCAAGACCCAATATCATTGCAGAAAGTTCAAAGTCATTGAAAGAAAGTTTGTAAAATCCTAATCAGCTGGTCTATATTTTTGTAATGGAGAATCACTCAAGCTAATACTTGGTATGTTTTACAAAGCTAAAAGTTTATGAACTGAGGGAACTTGCTCAGACTCCCATTCCTTTGGTGAAAAAAATGAATCTAGTCTCCATCTTTCTGCAATATTCATTATACAACTGCTTAATCAAATGAGTTTGTGGTAGGATTGGATTTTACAGAGTTACCTGGTACATAAATAAAGATTTTATTTGGGTCTGAATACCACTCTGGTCTGCTGGCCTGCATTTTTCTCCTCTCCCCTTACAAATTATTATTTTTAAATTTTTTTTTGTTGCTACCAAGAGAATAAAGTTTGCAGCAAGATGCAACTTCCAAAGGATTGTGGGTCCAGAGATATCAACATTCATTGTGCAAAGTCCAAATTTTCTCTTTTCCCAGAGGTTGCTGAAAGTACTTGTAGTGCAAATTGCATTTTGCACTGGAAGCTGTGCTCACTAATTTTGATTTTCTTTTCTATTCACTTGATTCCAGATTGCCAATGCACTAAAAAGAAAATGTGTGGTTAACATAAAACAGGAAGAACTAGAAAATGAAGTATATTTTCTTGTAAGGCATGGCAATTTCAGACATTTAACAGACAAGTAAGTTTAGCAAGGAATCTGGTTAAGATTATTTAAATTTTAATTCAAGTGACTTAAGAATGTATATATGTAAAACATATAAAATTAATGTGTTTCATGATAAATTTCTGTTGCATATTTAAAAGTATGATAAATTTTACAGGTTGGTGCATCAAATTTTCAAATTTGTGTAATTCATGACATATTGGAATATTTTTGACTTCTTCTCAAGAACCACTGAGCCAATTTCAACCAAACTTGCCACAAAGCATCCTTGGGTGAAGGGGATTCAAGTTTGTTCAAATGAAGGGCCATGCCCTCATTCAAGGGGAGATAATTGGGAATTAATAGAAATTTGGTGGTATGTTTTAAAAATCTTCTTCTCAAGAACCACTGTGCCAGGAAAGATGACACATATGGGAGACATCCTCAGGTAGTGTAGATTCAAGTTTGTTCAAATCATGACCCCCGGGGGTAGGGTGGAGCCACAATGGCCGACCAAAGTTTTACATAGAAATATATAGGAAAATTCTTTAAAAATCTTTTTCTCAAGAATAACAAAGCCATAATTGATCATATTTATATGGAAGCATCCTCAGATAGTGTAGATTCAAGTTTGTTCAAATCATGACCCCCAGGGGTAGGGCGGGGCCGACCAAAATTTTACATAGAAATATGTAGGAAAATTCTTTAAAAATCTTCTTCTCAAGAATAACAAAGCCATAATTGATCATATTTATATGGAAGCATCCTCAGATAGTGTAGATTCAAGTTTGTTCAAATCATGACCCCTGGGGATAGGGCGGGGCCACAATGGCCGACCAAAGTTTCACATAGAAATATATAGGAAAATTCTTTAAAAATCTTCTTCTCAAGAATAACAAAGCCATAATTGATCATATTTATATGGAAGCATCCTCAGGTAGTGTTGATTCAAGTTTGTTCAAATCATGACCCCCGGGGGTAGGGAGGGGCCACAATGACCGACCAAAGTTTTACATAGAAATATATTGGAAAATTCTTTAAAAATCTTCTTCTCAAGAATAACAAAGCCACAATTGATCATATTTATATGGAAGCATCCTCAGGTAGTGTCGATTCAAGTTTGTTCAAATCATGACCCCCGGGGGTAGGGCGGCGCCACAATGGCCGACCAAAGTTTTACATAGAAATATGTAGGAAAAACTTTAAAATAAAAATCTTCTTCTCAAGAATAACAAAGCCATAATTGATCATATTTATATGGAAGCATCCTCAGGTAGTGTAGATTCAAGTTTGTTCAAATCATGACCCCCGGGGATAGGGCGGGGCCACAATGGCCAACCAAAGTTTTACATAGAAATATATATAGGAAAATTCTTTAAAAATCATCTTCTCAAGAATAACAAAGCCATAATTGATCATATTTATATGGAAGCATCCTCAGGTAGTGTAGATTCAAGTTTGTTCAAATCATGACCCCTGGGGGTAGGGCTTGGCCACAATGGCCGACCAAAATTTTACATAGAAATATATAGGAAAATTCTTTAAAAATCATCTTCTCAAGAATAGCAAAACCATAACTGGTCAAAGGTTTACTTTTGGATTTAAACTTTTCAATAATAAACCAATTTCTACTTCTTTCCTAGCCACAGTGCTCAGGTGAGCAATGTGGCCCATGGGCCTCTTGTTTACTTGAAGGTGTTAATGCCCTTCAGTGTTTTCCCTAAGAACCAGCTACCAGCCAAATTGACCGCTTCAATGTACAAAAATGCCGCTTTGAAATAAAAATTAGTTGTTAGGTCCACAGAGACTTTGTTCAAAAACCTCATCCCCTAGCCTGTTAACTTATCTCTAACCCTTTACTTTGAAATTAAGGGAAAACACTGCCCTTACACTTTTTACAAATATTTTATAGATTCCCATCTTTAAGTGTCAACAAAAAATATCTACAAAGATTGACTAATGCCTCATCAAAAGATATTGATGTTGTAAGTAAAATTTTGAATTATGAATCTATATAACAATCAAGCAGCATATTTTTTAGACACGATTAAAAGAGGTGTGTGATATCACAGCTAAATGATATTATAAAGAAAAATCTTAAAATTTCTTATTGTTGCAGCAATGAAGGGCCAGAGATGTGTGGAATTGAAAATATTCATTAATCTCACTTGCAGGTGCTAGAGAAAGATGATGATTTTGAAAATATAACATCAAGCCAGAAAGGAAATGACATTAACTTTATGGTCAATCCTCATGGATTTATGCAGGCGAGTAAGCTGAAATAAAACAGATTAAAGCAGGTTCATTCCTGTATATTTTGTGGACCATATTTTGTATGCTTTCCTATTTTTCTGTAATTTTACTGTCATAAAAATTGTTCACACAGGTAATCAATGTTTAATACATGTATGATCATAAGTCAACTTTTAAAAAAGATGTTTCTGACCAATGCAGCCTATAATAAAGTATACACTACGACAAAAACAGTGTACAAGTGATGTAAAGGGAGTTGATATTGTATTAAAATATTTACCTGGCTATTAAACTAAAGAGGTATAATACTACATAAACTACATACCGGTATCAAAAATAAGTTCCAGTAAAGCAGAAAGTATTATCAAACAGAGCAGTGTTGTGTAAAAGAATGTTTTTTCTTATTTCGACTGTATGAGTGTTTTATCCTTTATGACACTTAAAACTTGTTTTAGGAGGTGCTCAGAGAGATTTGCCAGAGAAAGGAGAGTTTTGGTAAAACAGAAAACCTACTCAGCAAAAAGTTAAAGATCCTGGTGGATTTCAGGTCTTCATTTCTCTTATCTTTATACCACTATACTATAAACATAAGAATTTAAAAGATACTATTCAAGTCTAAGAGATCAGTATGTTGCCCATGATAAGAAACTTTAGGAAAAAATATTTTAGTTGTAATTCAGACCTTGAAAATATGAAGCATATATAGGATTAAAAAAAAACCCCTAGGTTTAGGTGCAAGTCAAACCTGTGAAAACCCTTAATGTAAAAAGTCAATTTGAAATGTGCTGCAGTATAAAGCTACTATTCTTGTGACAAAATGTTTCATAGGAACAAATTGTTAACTTCACAGTTCTCCTAACATTGCTAAGGAATTTCACGAGGGTCACCTACGCTCCACAGTGATCGGGAACTCCCTGTGTAACCTGTATCAAGCTGCCGGGCACGAAGTAGTCAGGGTCAATTACTTAGGTGACTGGGGAACTCAGTTTGGTAAGGAAACTGTGATTCGAATCATGAAAAAAATGTGAGAACATGGGGCAGTTTGAGTTCAAAATTCTAGTACATGTATATTCTTTTAATATACTTTATTTAATGGTATTAATGAAATTTTTCTAGGAATATAATGTATGCATATTATGAAGATTTTAATGCTTGAATCATAAAATTTATGCATTAAAAATATTTATCTGAGGATTACAAGTATTTGCAGTGTAAACGAATCAATGCTTTTTTTCAGGAGTTTTATTGAGTGGATATGAGAGATTTGGGAATGAGCAATCCCTAGAAGAAAATGCATTGGCACACTTAAACGAAGTAAGATTAATTTTAATTCTGAAAATGTTCCTAAATTCTAAATCAACACACACAAATTAAAACTATCATATTACATGTACAGGTAATCATTAAGGTAAAAAATGCATTTGAATAAGTTCTAAAAATAAACTTTGCTGGTTAAATTATTTTGTGTGAAAAACTTTTCATTGATTATTATTATTTAACAAATGTGGCATGGCTGTGCAATGAGGTTTTCTTATCTATGGCAGGGTGGTGTACATCTTATATTGGTTTTGTCATTTAAATTCATTGAATACTTTTTTAGCCATGATTATAGGTGGATCTGTTCTGTTCTGTAGTAAACAATAACCTGGCTTTTCATTTGTTAAATTTTTTCCCAAAGGTGTATGTCAGGGCAAATAAGGAAATGAAAAATGACCCGACCTTGACTTCAAGGGCAGCTGAAATTAACAAATTACTGGAAGAAGGTATAATTAAAGCTACTCCAATGTAAATTGTTTACATTTATTGTAACCTGTTTTGACACTGCTTGGTGCTAATTGATGAACTTCAGAATAGAAAATTATTTTAAAGAATTTTATTGATGTAGGTGATGATAAATATTTGAACCTGTGGAAGAAGTTCCGAGAGATAAGCATCTCAGAGTATAAGAAACTTTATAAAGTAAGTGCCATGTTTCAGATTTAATGGTTCATGTAGAAATAAATCAAGTACATGTAAGTTGGCTACATCTACATGTCATTTGTATTTTGAGGGGGGCTTAAAGCTTTTAATTAAGTATTTAGATATTATAAAGAGGTCACCATTGTACATACTTGTACATGTTTTCTTTGACGTAGCCAAAGTGAAATTGTCAGCAATGCCATTATTGAGAGAAAAGACATATTATTATGTATAAAAGATTCATTTCTGTTCTAAGTAAGCACATACATTATTCATGATATATAAATAAAACAGACATGAGTAGGAATAAAAAGATTAAAAGAGAATACATAAGTATAAGATGCTTCTATAAGTAATAATTTGGATAAGTTTGACTACATGTATTAATTCAGGTTCTAGGAGTGGAGTTTGATGTTTATGAAGGAGAGTCTATGTACTACAACAAAAGTCAAGATGTTATAGATCGTTTAGTCGAGAAAGGATGTATTGAACGGTAAGATTCAAATTCACAGAGGTATATATGTAAAACTGCAAATCTTTCATCGCTCATTTATCACACTGAAAAGAAATAGTAATTATAGAATAGGCTTCATGCCAAGAGACATTATTTTACCCCATATGATTCCATTTTCAATTTTCCATTCCAGAAAGAATTAGTTTTCTTTTTCAGATCTAAAACTGATGATCATGTTATTGCTGTGTACAAGTGTCCAAAGTCAGGTGTAAGGAAAGAAGTTGTCCTGCAGAAAAAAGATGGAACCTCTCTGTACATTACAAGGTGCTTGTTGGTATTTTTATAACAAATTAAAGCAAATCTATTTAAGGGAGGTCAACATTACCGCAACATTCCACAAAATTTCAACTCATTACAGCTGCATTTTCTCAAATTTTCGACCGATCATTACTGCTACATTTTTTTCGGCCGAAAACAATTCATTACCGCTGCACTGGAAGTTAATGTAAATATATAGTATGTGCATTATACATGCACATACTATATATTTACATTAATTTCCAGTGCCCATGTATGTAGCGGTAGTTTAATTTTTTTTGTAGTGGTAATGACTATAGCGGTAATGAAAATTTCAAAAATGTAGCGGTAATGATACGCACCCCTATTTAATAGGACATTTTTGATGAAGTCCCATGCCAAATTAATGCTTAACTCTTTTCCCCTTAGACCTTTCCCTCCTTTACTCCTTAATGACGACTTTTGACGCCTAGGTCCCAACCCTTAATGACGACTTTTGACGCATGTGTATTTCATTGTTGATTTGACTAAGAAATTTTGATTATTTCTCAAATTATCAGAGCACAGGTGGCCACCTTGCAGGTATAACAATAGATGAGTGCATCATACTACAAAAAATCACGTGATTTACCTGTGTAAACAAACAATAGATGCATTGAAAAGAAAGGTTTCAAAATGGTCTGTTACAGAGGTTTTTTTTGAGCATATAACTAGTAAATCTGCAAATCTTTTATTAAAGCATTACATGAAATTTTTATCACATTTCTGAAAGAGATAAAATTATAATGATCTATTTGTGTAATATACTCCAACAAAAGATATGAAAATTTTGTTTGCCCTATATTATTCCCTGTTTCTCACAAAAAAATCAATTTTACACATTTTCTAAATGTAAAGGTGTAAAAATAATTATTTTAATAAAATTGCTGTGTAAAGTGTCCAAAAACGTCAGAAATCAAGTTTTAAAGAAAATTTGTTCGAGATTGCCATTAAAAAGCACTACAATTTATCGATTTCTCTCTGGAATTAAACTTATAAAAATGGTTAAATAATTTTAACCATCAATTACATCATCACACATATTTTAAAATTATTTATACAAACTTTTTGCTGCCATTAAAGCATATTGTTGAAAATATATTTTTCTATTTTCACCTGTTTTCACCTGAATTATTTTTTAACATTTAATCCCATGCCAAAAATAATGCCGATGACAAATTTTATTAAGAAAAGATAAAGAGAGTTTCACAATCCTTTGTTAATAAGTGATCATTTTTTAAGTGTCAATACATGTTATTTTTATCAATTTCTTTTAAACCGATCTAAGGGGCAGCTTTTGAAACACTCTAAGAAAAAAAATCGTGGCATTAAGAGAGTTAAGACAAATTTTGTTAATAAGTGATCATTTTTTAAGTGTCAATACATGTTATTTTTATCAATTTCTTTTTTAAGAGATCTTGCGGCAGCTTTTGAAAGAAAGAAAAAGTATGGAGTGGATGCTCTTCAGTATGTTGTATGTAAAAAAAAAATACTGATTTTATAGAAAATAATGTATTGCTCTTGTAATTAAATTATATCAAGATTGTGAAGAGTTGACTCCTTTTATCCTTTAAATGCTGTGAATAACTGTTATGTTATTTTTGTGTTAAAGATATTGTTATTCTAATTTCTATCAAACATTTTTGGAAGAAGCATTACCAGTAGTGTAAAAGCATACCAGTAATGTCAAGTTTGTTTTTATCATTCTTATAAATTCCATGTAAGGTTGTGTGTACATAACAAGTGAAACTTACACCATATTTTTTTGTAAATGCAGGTTGATCAAAGACAAGTTGGACATTTTGAAAATCTCTTAAACTTACTGAACATAATGGAACCATCGGAATCTTGGAGAAAGGGGTAAAAGCTATTAATACAGGACTGGAATTAGAATGACTTTTGAAAAAAAAATGTTGCCTATATTTTTTTTGAGATTATTCTAATAAAAAGTTAATGTAAATTGAACGTAGAATATAATTATCATGTATAACTTAGTATTATTAAAGTGCATACTGTATCTTTTTTATTAAAAAAAAAAAATTAACTCATTTTTTTTATAAACAGTGTTTACTTTTGCCGCTCTTTCGGAGAAATTGAGGGCCTTAGCACTAGGGAAGGAAAGGTGTTACTACTGAAGGACATCATAGAAGACTTGTCAGCAACCATGCTAGAATCCATGCAAAACCCCGAGCACAAGTATTCCATAGAGGGTTAGTATATTTGGCTACAGGTTAAGGCAGGATTAAATTAGTATGGAATGGAAATTAAATCATCTTTGTAATAATGATATAAGCACAACCTCATCCAAAATGCTTCATTTCATTTCAAGCCGTGTATTGATTTCATTATCGTTGATCGTGGTTTTCAGATTGTGACCCAGAAGAACTAAAACAAAGAGCCCAAACATTAGCTGTCAGTCACCTGATCTATACAGATTTACGGTCCAATCATAATCGTCCTTATAAGTGGAAGATGGACCTAGAAAATACAAAAAGTTGGAAGCTGAGGAAAGGAAATGTTGTCCCGGTGCAATATTGTCATGCCAGACTTTGTCAGTATGTATTTTGTTTGTACATTGTGAAACTCTTTAAAATAATTTAGTTATTTATTTATGAATAACAAGGAAACTTGGATGTAGAATATGTAAAATATCACCAGAAATCATGGTTGAAATCATTCCAGATTGTTAGATAACCCTGCTCTGCCTTTAACCCTGAATCCAGATGCCAGAACAGAATACCTCAGCTGTGATGATAAAGCGGCCATCTCAGCACTTCCATTACAACTTGTTTTACAAATGGCCAGGTATATGAAATGCTCTGTACTTCTAATTGTGGAATGTTAAGGAGTTTTGTTTACATGTCATTTTTCATTGTCAAAGCGACTTAGACATGCTTTTCTTAACCCCCCTTGTTGTTATTTTGTTATTTTTGTGCAAAAGATAGAATTAACTTTTACATGAAAGTTTTATTCTTTTCATTGGTGTATATAATTCAAAACAACAGAGATATTTATCAAAATCATCTCTTTTGTTTAAAATAGGCATTATTTTGCTTTGAGAGTGAATATTTTTGTTTCTGTGATGTGTTTTATAATATACTTTCAGGTTGGAGGAAGTTATCCATGAAGGTGTGAGTCAGAGCCAGTCGTATTGCATTCATCACTACATAGAACATTTAGTGTAAGTATTGATACATCTCTACATAGAACATTTAGTGTGGGTTATAAAACATCTCATGTAAGTGTTTGCAGCTGCATCATATATGTATAGATAAACTTTAAATTTCACATGAACACTGAAATCAAAAAAGTTTTAACACTCAAGTATTTTACGTAGTTTAAGTGACCTTTTATGTAGTCAAAGTGACCTTTTTTATACCCCCCCCCCCCCCGCTTGAAAAGTGGGAGGGTATATAGTAATCAGTATTTCTGTCCGTCCGTCTGTTACGCTTTGGGATACCCATCTCTTATCCGCATTTCCTCTTATACTACTGAGTGAAATTTAACGAAACTTTCATCTTTATTACATATTGCCATTGTGCACCTCCTATTTTAATTTTTAATCTGACGTATATTTTGGATTTTCCAGAGCAAAACAGGGACACTGCTATAATATTCATATGGAAGGCGGGGGGTATCATTTAGTGAGCTCATTGCTCACAGTACCTCTAGTTTTAATCTAAAATCAAATAAAATGAATTTTACAATATATTTCGTTTAATTTAGTTCAACCAATTAAACATTCATATGTTATTATAAAACCAAGATAAATTATTTGAGTACAGATGCACTTAATTTGTAATTTATTTTACCAATCTACCATGAAATCACAAATTTTCTTGGGGGTTTAATTTTCATTGTTTTCGAGGCATGGAAAAATCCACGAATTCTTTACAACCACGAAATGTAAAATTTAATATGCATTACTACTCAACACTTCTTCTAACCATGAAGTCAAATCCCCACATATCAAATAATTTTTTCTCAAACCTCGAAAAATTTGCCCCCATGAAAGTATATGATTTTACATTAAGTATCATATGCATTAGTCATTTGTACATCCTGTATTCTAATCTTAAAACATTGAAATGGCAGATATCTTATGTAAAAATTAAAAAGAATAATTGTAATGTTGACACCTTCATGCAACACATTTTCCTAAACTTTATAAGTCTATAAAGAAAGTTTCTTTCCATTTCAGAGCACTTATAGGAAAGACGTATGAAAACTACAGGATAAATGATAGGAGTATATCTAAGGAGCAAGAAGAGGTAGATATTATACATAATGACACATACCCTTTTCCACATCACATCCTGTATCGGCCCTCTGGCAGATATTGTTGTCTCAGGCTGATACAGGTTGTGATATGAAAAAGGGTATATATTATTTTCTGTGTACATCTATGTCATATGAGATGAATTTTATGAAACTGAAAATTCAAATTATCATGACAATTGTTTGCTAAGGCCATAAAAAATTAATTTTTTGGTTCTCAGGTCCTCCCTCATCTCTTCCAAGGGTGCCTCATTGACCCCATTATTGCTAAATCAATAAAATAAAAACAACAAATTACCTCCCTCATCATTTTTTGAGGTTATGTTCAGTGTAAAAAGCTGCTTTGTCATGTTTTGGGGACAAAAAAAAGTTAGGAAAGAATGCCTCCCTCCCTCATCATATTTCTTGAAAAAAGGCCTGAGAAGCAAGTAATTAGCTTTGCATGACATAACTGTGAACGTTTACCCCTTTTTGGACCAGCAATATATGTAATTTGCTTGTACAACATATCTTTGTAAGAACAACTCAAAAGAATAAACTGGTGCCTCTAATACATTCAGAAATTTTTATTCATGAATTCACAGTTATACATGTATGTCAGATTCATCTAATAAGTACTAGGCATTAAAATTCACACTCTGTGCATTCTGTATGATTTTATCACAAGAAAATTTTGCATGATTTTCTCAAGAAAGACAAAAAAGTTTCCTATTTTAAAAAGAAATGTGAATTTATAAATGAATGTGTACATTCAGCAGTGAGAGAACAAAATATATTTTTGTCCTCCGCTTGAAAAGTGGGGGATATTAATTTGGGTCTGTCTGTCCATCCGTCTGTCCATCCGTCTTTCTATCTGTCTGTAACGCTTTCGTTTCCACACGATATCTCGAGAACCCTTTGAGCTTTCGCAATGAAATTTTGCACAGCAATTTCCTATGGACGAAAGAAGAACCCTATTGATTTTGAGGTCAAAAGGTCAAAGATCAAGGTCATAAAAATCGCAAATTCTGTCTTTTATAACACTTTCGGTTCGCGCGATATCTCGAGAACTCTTTGAACTTTTGCAATGAAATTTTACATAACAACTCTCTGTGGCGGAAGAAAGACCCCTATTGATTTTGAGATCTAAAAGTCAAAGTTCAAGGTCGTAAATTTATACATTCTGTCTGTATGAAACACCATCATTTCCGGGCGATATTTCAAGAAGATTTTGAGCTTTTGAAATGTAATTTTATACCAAAACTCCCTAGGACCTCTCTCACCCCTCTCAAAGTGTCCCGCGCCGTTTGTTTTATTAGTATTTATTGTATTACATGTCGCTATTTTTAGCACAGGGGCATGAGGAGAGTTATTACGTATAAAACAGTTTCTCTATGGAACGCCATGGCTGCCTTATGTTAGATGATTATATTACAATGTATATGCTGTGCTTCTTATATTATATACTGTGGATTTGTAATTATATGCTGTGGTTCTTTTATTATATGCTGTGGGTTTATAATTATATGCTATGGATCTATTATTATATGCTGTGGGTCTATAATTATATGCTGTGGTTTTATAATTATATGCTGTGGGTTTATAATTATATGCTGTGGGTCTATAATTATATGCTGTGGGTCCATTATTATATGCTGTGGTTTCATTATTATATGCTGTGGTTTCATTATTATATGCTGTGGGTTCATATTTATGTGGGTTCATAATTATATGCTGTGGGTTCATAAATATATGCTGTGGATCTTTTATTATATGCTGTGGTTTCATTATTATATGCTGTGGGTTCATAATTATATGCTGTGGGTGTATTGTTTCATATTCTGTCGGTTTATTAGAAACTAGCTATTCGAATCTGGACTTCTGGTTTTTTTAGTTTACTTGCTCAAAAAATGGCGGCAACTGCACCAGGCCTAACCGTAATAGGAATGAGAGAGTGGAGTGCTGAATAGGAAGGCATCACCTGATTGGTTTAAATGAGGTACATGTAATATGTTATGTTTTTTTTAAAGTAAAAATATTAATGTTTGAAATAAATGAGTGAATGTATGAATATTACAGAAATATAGAAATACCAGGGGAGACTATAGGAGCGGAGGTTGATTTTTTTTTGGCAGAGTGTTATTTACTGGCGGTTACTATAAGTTAATTTTTAATTTTAAACAGCTGCAGTTTTGACCTATAAACGCCATGGGACCCTATGATTTTTTTTTTGGGGGGGGGGGGGTATAAGCGCCTGTAATAAAGTTTCATACGATTCCAAGGAATTGTTTGAAATTAAATTAGTATAGTAGTGAGAGGACAAAAGGTTTGTATAGAGTTCTGTGGGAAAATAATTGGTACTCTTTTCCTTATAGAGATCTTAATTTTTAAAATGTTAAGTGAATTTAAGGTCAAGAAGAATGATATTTTGCTCTTTATTTGACGACACACCGAGAGGAAATATACATGTATATATAAAAAAAAAGAAAAAAAGATTTGTTTTTGGTGTGTTGAGATTTGAGAGGAGTTATGTCCTTTGTTAAAGGGGGGGTAGTGAGAAGAATGTAGATATTAGCATATATAGGCGTCGGAACGGGGGGGGGGGGGGGGGGGGGGCTAGGGGGGCATTAGCCCCCCAATTTTTTCCAAACATATACTTAGTCTAGACATTGAACATTGTTTCTTAGGTTTACCCTCTCCCCCCCTCCCACTTTCCACAGATACGTCGCAGTATAGGTTAAAAATGGGGATACTGGTGGTGTTTAGAAAAAAATTAGGTACTAAAGAAGTTCGTTCCAACAAATACCCCCCCCCCCCCCCCCCCCCCTCCACGACACGAAATAGAATTTTCGTGATTAGGCCATTTTCCTTTTTCTTTTTTTTTTGCTTGTCAGGTTTTTTTAATCACTAAGCCCCCCCTTTCAATTTGCTTCCGACGCCAATGATTAGTATAGCGTGATGCATTTGATAATGTCCGAGGAAGTAAGTAAGTTAACAATGTGCACCAGATTGCTCTTAATATGATAAATTTTTGTAGTGTATGGCATCGTTAGAAACTTTCATCCAAGCGCTTATAAAAAAAAAAATCCCCCCAAAATATAGGGTGCATGGCGTTTATAGGTCAAAATTGCAGTTGATAAAAATTAACTTATAGGTACCGGCAGTAAATAACACTCTGCCCACCCACCCCCCCCCCCCAAAAAAAAAAATCAACCCCCACTCCTACAATCTCCCCTGGTATTTCTATATTTCTGTTATATTCCTACATTCCATAAAAAAAAATCAACCCCGCTCTTACAATCTCCCTGGTATTTCTATATTTCTGTAAAATTCATACATTTCATCATTTATTTCAAACATTTATATTTTAATACTTTAAAAAAAAAGCATTAAATACATGTTCCTCATTAAAACCAATCAGGTAATGCTTTCCTATTCAGCACTCCACTCTCTCATTCCTATTACGGTTAGGATTTTTTGAGCAAGTAAACTAAAAAAAAAACTAGAAGTCCAGATTTGAATAGATACCGGTAGTTTCTAATAAACCGACAGAATATGTAACAATACAACCACAGAATATAATTATTAACCCACAGCATATAATAACGAAACCACAGCATATAATAATAGATCCACAGCATATAATTATAGACCCACAGCATATAATTATAAACCCACAGCATATAATTATAAAACCACAGCATATAATTATAAACCCACAGCATATAATTATAAAACCACAGCATATAATAATGGACCCACAGCATATAATAATAGATCCATAGCATATAATTATAGACCCACAGCATATAATTATGGAACCACAGCATATAATATAAGAACCACAGCATATAATTATAGACCCACAGCATATAATAATGAAACCACAGCATATAATAATGAAACCACAGCATATAATAATGGACCCACAGCATATAATTATAGAACCACAGCATATAATAACAAACCCACAGCATATAATTATAGACCCACAGCATATAATTGTAGACCCACAGCATATAAGTATAAACCCACAGCATATAATTATAAACCCACAGCATATAATATAATCATCTAACATAAGCAGCCATGGCGTTCCATATTTCTCGGGTGGACTTTATATTCTTATTACATCTATTAGAACTGTTTAATAAAGGTTAAATTAGATATCATGCATTGTGTAAAATTTGGACAAAATCGAACGTGAATATATACATACATGTATATGTGACTTCATCTTTGCATATAATTTTCGCAAGTTTAAAGCGGCTCCGTGGTCTAGTAGTATGTTTCTCGCTTCACATGTGAGAGGGCCCGGGTTCGCATCCCGGGCGATCAATTTTTTTTTTCGAAATAATTTTTTTTTACTAAATGATAGTATTCATTGGAAATGTTTCTTTTCTCATCATAGGTGCGTTACCTTCTATTTTTCTGTGCCAGACAGACACTTTCAAATTCTCTAAAACTCCTGGGAATACCACCAATGAAGAAAGTCTGAAAACAAAGATTTCAAGGAAGAGAGAGAGAGAGAGAAAGAGAAAGTGAGAATATGGTGTGTGTTTTTACTGATGTGTTTGTGTCTTTAAGTGAATGAAATGTTAGAAGACGCTAATAAATGATTTCATAATACAATGTACATGTTTTTGTTAAATATTTGTTATGTTTATAAATTGGATACCACTGATATGAGAAAGCATGAATATGTACCAGTATAAACTAGATGATATCACTCGTGTTTGCCTGCAAGATTTCTTTAAAAAGTATGTGAATAGATGTAAAACAAAAGGTACTTTAAGCACTGAGCTCACTAAATGATACCCTGCATCCCAAATGAATACAATGGCCAAGTCCGTGTTTTGCTCTGGGAGACCCGAAATATGTGTCAGATCAAGAAGTAAAATAGGAGATGCACAATGGCATTATGTAATAAAGAATCTCTAAAAGTATCGTTAAATTTTATGCAATTGTATTCAAGAGATGGGCACCCCAAAGCTTAACAGACGAATATACACTCTATATATACGTTTTTCAAGCGGGGTATAATAAAGGACAAATGTTTCCCAGAAGAACTCAGTGTACAACTTACTACAGTACTGTATAATTGTTTTCTAAATTCAGCGCAAATTTTGGTCGAAATATGCAATATTTTGGAAATAATTTCCAAGAGATTACATGTATTATACGGAAGCCCGTTGAGGCCAGTTCAGAGAGAGAAATATTTTTTATTGCGTTTAAACGCAAAACATCGCGTTTAATCGCAATAATTATTGCGTTTAAACGCAAAACATTGCAATTAATCGCAATTGTCATTGCGTTTAAAAGCAAGGACTGGTACTATGCGTGTAATCGCAATCTTTTGCGTTAAACGCAATAATTTTGCGATTAAACGCAATTTTTTGCGACTAAACGCAAAGTGCTTTGCGTTTAAACGCAATTTAAACACAATAAAAAAAATTTCTTTCTCTGAACTGGCCTCAACGGGCTTCCGTGCATGTGTATAAAGTTTTTGTATATATCCTAGATTATCGAGCTCTCTAGCATCGTTTAAACGTATAAATATTCTTCGTTGATTTCTTTAGTTCAAGCACGTATATCTAGAGTTATCTATCTTTGTTTTCAAATAAATCATTTTTTACAAAAAATTCAAGTCAATTTTTTAAATTTATAAATATGGCCTTGAACTTGAAGTTTGATGCAGTTTTCAAAAAGTACAAGTTTAGTCCTAATTTTTTTGTAAGATCTTTTTCATATAATGAACAACTAAGACGGTACATATACTCATATACAGACAAGACAGCTAAAATATACCATTAATAAAAAAAAATAACTGCATTCTTACAAATAATACCCCGAAAGTGGAAGACCAAAATTCTCTGAATTTCTTTCATTCACTATTGTTTTATCTTGGAACAACTTTATAATGAAGATATGAAAGAACCGGTGCACTATCAATTGCTTTTTTGTGACGCTTACATGACTGCATGCGTCGATCTTTCTAATCCTTGTTTATGCATTCGCAATTCGGTCAAGTTCTGTTGATAAAACAAAGTCAAGGAAATTTGAAAAATTAGGAGAAACAATGAAATAAGAGGAGATTTGATTAGCTTACTAAATTGAAAATCATTTTGGTCAATAAATAGAAGTGCAAAAATTGATAAATTGAGACAGGTTTGTAAATAAGTATATTGACTTTAATGTTAATACTTCGAAATCTCCGTCCTGTGAGCACCGTGTTGTCTAGATATATCCAAACACTATTTGTTACAATTTGGCAATCCTCTATAATATATATTCATAAACACATCTATCAGCACAATAATATATACCTTATTCTGTGGAAGAAAAGATGGGAATATCCATTTCTTCCAAACAAAAACCTAAAAATCTAGATGAAATTGATATCAAGAAAGATGTTCCTCCGAAATCGGAGCGGGATGTACATCGGACAAGTTCTCGGTATTTAGACTTCTCTAATTCCGACAGTGGATATCCGACAACACCTCAAAATCAAGAAAATGCGGAGAATGTTGATAATGCAGATGTTCTGTCAATTGACGATTTGTGGATTCCAACAAGCAAGATGAAATCGGACAGTCAAAGGAACTTCTTTCCAAATATTGACTCTTCTGCCGAATTTGATAAAATTCCAACAAAGGATGGGATATTTTCTAATGGATTTCGAGACAATGACTCTTTGACTACACTGGATATTCCAGGAGCTGTCACAAGTAAGGATTCTATCCGGTCTAGAGACAGACGCAGACGCGCGAAGACAAGTTCTTCTTGGACGCAAAGCGTCAAAGATGCAGAATGTGACGCTACAAGATTAAGAAATGATTCATTTTCAGCGACTGAGGAAAAATGGTTCAGGAACGATCCTGTTTACCGTAGTGTCATCGAAGACGAAATATCATCGGCATGTGAAAGTGATTTTGAAAGCCAAAGAAAACGCAGCACATCAAATCCGAGAAATAGACCAGGCGCTGCAAGACCTAGGCGTCGGAGAGTTGGCGCAATGAATAACAAAGCAGAAGGCAATGATGGTGGAAAAATAGATTTACATGAATATCTTTTACCCATGCTAGCTTCAGATTCATTATTATCAAATTCTTCGACAATATTTGACAAAAATCAAAGGTCAAAGAAAAAATATGAAGTTAAAGTGAGTATTAACCCCGACTCGAGCGTGTGTGAGATCATTTTACCGGGAAACTTTCTGTTTCGTCATGATGACATCATCAATAATGATCGGGAACATGGTTTAAAGAGACACAAATCCCTCTATTTGCCAAGTTCTAGGAAAAACTGAAGACGCCCAATAATTTTTTTTTGCTGTGTTATGTCCTATGTGATAGATGTATTTTATACGTGTATCTCGTGCTGAATCATAATTCGGTTCAAATACTACAAGTCAAATCCCCGCTCCACTCATTGAACTCTCCAGTTTTATGGGTTTTTTTTCTGTGAAAGGATGTATTCGCTTTGACAAAAGAATTGACCTATAGGAGAGAACAATTTCCCGGAAAAAGTGACATTTAAATATTAATCTTTATTTGTTGTTTCCTATCGTATATATGTCTAAATTTTTCAAATTTGTATTTTATACCTAAAATTTATTATTTACAACTTTACAGTAAACCTTCAAAGTTGGCTGAAACACCATTTTGTCCGCTAAAGCATTGATTTTTGCATGAATTTTGGCCGAGAAGTCCTTCAGGGCAGGCCTGCCCCTAAATAAAATTGTGATATTTTGATAGGTTATGATGGAAGGAATGATTTAAGATAGGAATTTTTTAGGGGCACCCCTGCCCTAAGGTCGAAATTCACAAAAAACCTACAAAAAATAAGGAAACCTGATTTCGAAAATCTGCTTCAAATTTATACCAGATATTTCTATGGACGGACTAGCTCAGTTGATATATGAGTTGGTTTTGCACCGTACCGTGAAACCCTTCTTTTTAAAGTGGCGGGATCGAATCCACCTGGCACCACACTTTTAAAGTTTTAAATTTCGCCTTTTCAAAGACTATTTTGATTTTTTTTAATAGACGTGTATTTTCCTTCAATTATCTATCCCTTATGTATGCCCATTCTTGATACAAGAAAAACTAAAGAGATGTCAAATCGTAACAATCAAATGTACAGTTGTCAGTCAGGCGGAACAAACCTCAATCAGGTTGGGCACAGCCTACCAAATGGTACTTTATCCCCCGTTTGGTAGATAATCTACCATATCGGTAACAAATTTTACTAACCAAATGGGGGACAATATTGGTTGTGTTTAATTCCATAGAGTGGAGTGGAATTTCGCATGATTTTAAACCATGTGGAATAAAATATAGATATTTATCGGTGTTCTGGGTGAAAAAAATCAAAAATTCTATGTGCAATTTTTTGCGCAGAGTCGTTCAAAAATTTGACAAAAAACGAAGCTTATGTAAACAAGTGCAATGTTTCTCCGTTTTTTACTTTAAAAGAAAATTCTCTCCTTCTCCAACGATGCTGCACCTGTCAATCATGTCCTTTACTTTCTATTTCGATTATCCGGGCAACCAATCAATTAGTGCAAACCAATCAAAACGATGATCTTTTTTAAACCTGATGAAAAGTCGGATTTAACTACGGAGGCACACTTGTGTTAATTTTCAACAAGGAAATCAGAAGAAAAATAAGTTTTGCCTTCATTTCTTTTTATTTTGAACACAATGGCTTTGTTCTTCATAGAAATAGTAAATGCAGTTATAGTATGACATAATTATTGTTTTAAAACTATGTACTTGGAACAAAAACAAGAATAATGGCAAAAGTCATTTTGTACATCTTTTATTGAATATTATTTTTCGAATTTATTAAATTCACCAGTAATATGCATATTAAACCCCAAAAGATCGCATAGAATCTGCAACTTCATCCTAAAAGAAAAATAACATTAAATATTACGTACAACTCTGGAAAAATTAACTTTATAGCAGGAAGTGTCCACCATACCGGTAAGGCATGAGGAGCTCGTGTTTAACAGGATTTTATGGAGATAAACATTGACGAAGGTCCAAAAAGAGATTGAAAGTTAACTCATCAAGAGTTAAATCACTGTATAAAATTGGATTTTTATCCAACAAGACACAATAAAGATTTTTTTGATCGTTTGATCAAGAAGTTCGGCTGTTACATACAACTACGGGTATTGTTTTTACGAAGTTACGGAGAAATTACACATAGAAATTCGACCGATTTATGTTAATTGTACGAGGAATATGTTCACTAAAATCCCCCATTGCCTGAATAAATGCGCTTTTGTTTTATTTTAATAAAAATTGCAATAGAATAAAAAAGTCCCCCATTTGGTTAGTAAAATTCGTTACCGATATGGTAGATTATCTACCAAACGGGGGATAAAGTACCATTTGGTAGGCTGTGCCCAACCTGTCAATATCAGCACACTTTCTTCGAGGAAAAGAATAACTCACTCTGTGTTATTTGATACAAGTATTCTTGGCGGCATTGAGCTGCGACGAATTTCAATTGTATATATTCCTTAGAATTTAATCACATTGATTTTGGCTACATATATCAGTAACTGTACTCCCTTGGCTTTCATTTAGGCCTATATAATTTGCACACATTAATGACATGTTTTATTATATCCACGGATAAATAGCCTAGACACAAAGAATAGAATTTCAGAGACAGTAGACATTACCATTATGCACAATGAGAAGTAAAGACAAATATCAATTATACATTTGTACATTTCTCTCTCTCTCTCAATGGCCGATACCTGTATTTTGGACAGTGTTGTAGTCTGGAAAGTAAACGTTCCTAGCAAATCCAACGTTTTTGTGCATTTTATTTTTCGTTATACCACATTATTGTGTAGAATGGGATAATTTATCTAAATAATCAAGCGGAAAATGCCACAAATCATAGGCATAGTTGAGATCTTGTAATATTTAGCTCTTTCGAAATTTCTTAAAGTAATATACGCTATAACGTGCGCCATTTTAAAATACGGCTGGAAATTTATATATTTTGTTTACCAATAAAAGTTACGAAAATGCTGTAAATTACACCATTTAAATAAAATTTGTTATAAAGTTATCAAATTATAATTATTTATTATCCTGCAAGGAGAATAATGTCTATTTTTAAGTAAATCCACCACGTGACGCCGTCGCTACTTTTAGATTGATAAACAAACACGGCGTCAAGAAAACGAGGTAAGCCCTTTGAGATACAACTCACTTTTGACATGGATGGCGTTTTACTATTAATATAAATTATCTTTAAATGTAATCAGTATCAACCATCTATACTCTGTTATGACGCATATTAACCTTTTATTAATAATCGTTGCAACGTGCTTCGTTGTCTATAATTTCCCGTGGACATACGTGTCTATATTTAGACCTACTGTTTACGCACTTCCTTTATCAATATTCATGAAAAGACTGAATTCTTGATTGCAGATATTGCATTATTGTTCTGTTATTACAACGAGTTTTATAGTTAAATTTTGTGGAAATATTATTTTTTCATTACACTTTATGTGTTTCAAATCATTTAATCATTTTGTTTCACATACAAATCGGCATCCATACGGCTTATATTACTTTAACTCAGGGAAATCGTTTAAAAATTTTAATCTTTTAGCACCTATTTTAAAACACAGTTATATGACGTTAATCTGACAGTTATTCGCAAAATATCGCAATACATGATTATGTAAGCATCAATGTGGAAAATCATTTTGTTTATCGAGTTATTCACATATACACTGTAAAGCGGATTTAAAACATCACATAACAATCACTATTTTGATCAACATGACATCAATACCTTTAATACCTGTAGCTCTGCTTTGGAAAAGTAGTTAAAAATGTCAGGTGTTATGAAGAAAAGGGGGGGGGGGGTTATTTTTTCCAAAACCCGTCAGTAATATAGTTATAGTTGTAAATTTGCAAAAAAGTGAAAAAGAAAACTTTTACATGTACATTAAAAAAGATTTCTAAAAGAGATGAATTTATCTTAGCAAGATATATAACATAAATGTATTTCACAAAGTGGTTTTACATCCCAGTAATTAAATTTCTGCTGTCTAGAATACGCTAAGATCTAATAGTTTTATATTCCAGTAATAAACGATATATATATTTTCTAGAATACGTTATGATCTAAAATTGATATATTTTGTGTAAGTAACTGTTTAAATGTAAATACTTGTACAGAGACGATACATGTTGTAGCCTGTATCACCTGACACCATGCAGACCAAATGGGGATTGGGGGGATTTAAATATTTTCCCTTTCCTGTTTATATATTTGTTTGTGTTATTTGCGAAGCTGATTTATTGGCATAAAAACCTTTAACCGAACCGTTAGTTCATTTAAACCCTCTGCCTTCCTTTATCCTGTCTGTACAATTTTGTTGTCGATGTGAAATCGAACTGTCGTGTCTACTATTGCAAAAGAAATGTAGAATCAAGTTTTTTGACAATGTACAAACAAGTTAATTAGGATTTGATTTAAATTGTGACAGATGAATTAATCGATAATTAGCTACAATTGGTTCGTGCACGATGGAGACAAACGGTATTGAGAAAATGACCACGAAAAAGACGAACGGTTTTCATAAGGGACCGATGGAGCTATATTTGGTGAGGATATCGCCTGCTTGTCGAGCCGTGTGGCTTTACATCATCCAGGTAAATGACGTCATCATTTAGTTCGAATTCTTGAACATTTATTTTTATCATAAGGTTTAGCAATGTCATTTTCATGTTTTCAAATTCTTTAGAAAATCTGTAATTTTGAAGGCATAAAAAACGCTAAAATGTACATAAAATTATCGTCTGTAATAATTTCTTGAAATTCTAAATATAATCTTAAATTATCCTGCGGTAAATCCAAGATTGATATTTCTCTCTAGATTTATTTTTCGATGTTCCGCAATTTTCATTATGTAGAAGCTATAAGATTGTTAAAATTGTACACATGTTTGATTTAGTTGGTTTTAACAAACTTTATTTTGACAAGCAAGAAAATCACATTTTAATTATTTTGTTTATATTTCTAAAATCAACAGTAGGGTGTTATATATTTTCATTATTTGAAACAAAACAAATATTGATTTAATCTCAAGTCAAAGAAATCAGCTGTCTAATTAACGCCTAACAGTACTCAGTTTTATAGAATTGGAATCCAAGGGTCTTAATTACTACCTAATTATAAAGTTTGTGACCGAACGCTTTTTACATGGAGCATGTGATTTTATTGACTTTAAATTAAAATCGTTATTCGTGTTTACTCTTTGTCGGTACTGGCCTAGACTGAACATTAATTTACAAATAACATGACATTCAATATGTCTTTACAAAGCAGATTTTTGATTAGATTTATTTCATTAAAATTGAAAATTAATTCACAAGAAAGTTAAATTCCGTTTCGATACAACGTCAGAAAATTAATCCTTTCGCAAGAAAGTGGTTAACTTGCAACAAAAATATTGACAGACTATTGAACAGACTTTGGTAATACTTATCGCCCATTAGTCTGTTCCTATTTGAATGTCGTTAACAAAATAAAAAACTATGATAACCAAACATTTAATTTTGTTGTCGCAACGTTAACAGTAACTGGCCCTAGAAAACTGGTTATTTTCCTAGTACATGTATTTAAAAGAGTACATATGGACTATTTGGCTTCACCTACGCAATACATTGATTATTTGAATCATAAATCATTTTAATAATTGAAATCTAAGCTGAAATAAATCTGTTGTGGTCTCTATATTATACATAAAAAATCATTTAAGGGTAGCATTATGTACAACTAAAAGCAATCTTTAGTTAGGACTAGAAACTGATTACAAGACTTAAGCCTCATGCACTCAGTTTAAGGTTCTGATGCCAGGTTTGTTAGGAAATGATATATGTACCGACATCTACATTACCCAATTTTAGTGATTATAGTTAAATAACCCCCTGTAACATCCATTGTCGATTACATGAGCATTCTTGAATAATACTGTAAATAGTTTTTCAAGAAACTATTTTTAAAACATAAAAAATGATTAAATAAATGTCTGTAATTATCGAAATTTCAATGAATTTAAAAGGTTTTATCTTTTTTAAGTGTAAATAAATTGCGAGTTAAGCAGCTTTTATTAATTTTTTTTTAGTTTATTCATTTTTTTTTTAAATTATTTCCCCCGGAATTGCAATAAATATTTTGCCTTGATATTTGCTGAAATTGTCGCTTGGTTAGATTGGAGAAAATACTAAAATCTATAAGTGCATTTGAGTGGTTGTTTTTGTTTGGTAAATATCATTAAAAATCTGCGTAGGTCTTGTTCAATATTAGATGCATATATCAGGACAATAAAAATCACAAGCTTATTTGGAAAGAGTGGGAGAAAAAGATTTTTTTATTAGCAAACTTTTCTTCAGGGATTATAAGAATTGAAATGATCCGAAAATTTCTCTTTAAGAGTTAAAAGCAATATAGCACTCGAATGTAAATGCACTTTTTTTATGTGCATAATAACTTGAGAAAATAAATGAGATTTAAACCGCTGTTAAACGACACGGAAATTAACTGTAATGCACTTGCTAATGCATTGTCGCTTAATCACAAAAGAATTCTACAATCAAATAAAAAAAAGCAATTGTTATAGGACACGTAAACTTATCAAACTGCCAGTTTATGCGGAGACATGTTTTTAATTTGTGGTATTTAAAGAGATGCATGTTTTAGAATTGAGAAACTATTATAATTGCTTTGAATGAAAAAGATAAACATGGAAAACATTTTTTTAGAAAACTTAAATTTTCCTTAAAATGTGGGTAGGTGGGTGAGGTTAGCGAGGATATGTTGGTTTAGCATAAAGAAAAGTTAATGTCTGACGTAATCTTGAATAACAGCACAATATACATTTTTTCCTCAAAAACTAAAGAACCCTTTTCATACATATAAAATTTGCAATTAATAAATATTACCAAATTAAAAAAATATATATATTACCAGGACGAGCCCTTAAGGTCAGACGATGCGTTCTTCAAATATCTGTTTTGTATATTTTTAAAATGTATGAAAACTATTCAAAATTTCAATGACAACTTGTTTTCTAAACCAGCTTCTGATCATTTTAAAAAAAAATTGAAAAACTAAAAGTTGGTTTTGTAAGATTAATTTTTTTCCAATAAGGGTTATATAAGAAATAGTACCCTCTGGTATCTTGCACAAATGCCCGGTAAGGTACATCGTCTCAAGCCACGGTCCGGAGTCCGCATATGTAGCTCATTCCAGAATGGGAGAAGATCGTACATTTTGGCCGTGGTTTGCGACGATGGGTAATTATATAAGGTAGCAATACTTCAATGACAAAATCTTGAAAAAAATTATATATTATTGAGGAACGTATCATCTGTCCTTAAAGCAGTACTTAAATATCGTCAAATAACTTTCTTTTTTTACTAGGACAAACCCTTAAAGCAATACTTAAATATCTTCAGTAATTTCTTTTTTAAAAATCCAAGTTTTGATATCTCATCCGCGTCTGATTTGTTTATTCCCGTTATAGATGACATTCGAGTAGAAAATTGACCTATCAGGATAATTACATCGAACCGTAAACCATAAACTCGATTTGTAAGGAAACTTGCCTATTTTTAACCAATATTTTTTAAACCTCAGTCAGAAAAATAAACATGATACATGAAGCCACCTTCTGAGACATTAAAGGATTAATAGGGCTTTAACTGCGCATATATAAATATTGAAGGACTGTAAAGCAAGACTACGTACGGTGAATCTTCATATAGGAAATTAAAGGAAAGAAGTGAGATAATTATACATGTAGCTCTCGCATCATATGGTTAAGTGCATAGTTTTCCAATCCAAGACACGTTAATTCAATTAAAAAATATATTTTCAAACAGTTTTTTTTTACTGATTGTCTAAGAAGCACCCTAAAAGCCCATTATATGTCTTTCTTGAGTCAATGTTCAAGTGACTGCTTGAATATTTTGTCATAAAAGAAGCAACTTGCAAGATTTATAAAAAAAATAATGCCAAGATTAGAACCAGTCATTACTTGCCTTGCCACACTTTTCAACTTCAAATTTTTACAATTGTTTCGTTTTCTGCAAAGGTTTCAAAAGAAAAAAGTAGACAATATCTGAGAGATAATCAGTAGTTGAACAAGAAAATCCAAACATTACAAAAGTTTTTTATGTCTCTTTCCCTTTTCAAATTGTTTTTATACCTCTGTGGGAGGGTGTCTTTATATTTTGTACTTTGACAATATTCAACCATTTAAACCCTAGTCAAATATCGGACGTGTGTGTAAATTGTTGAATCCCCCAGAATTAAAACGGTTCTTTTTGTGTTTCGATCATTTTGAGAAAGTTAATGTATTCAACAACGATTTACAGCGTACAAAATGAATTGAGAGCCAGTTTGTATTCTGTTTTGTATATTTAAAATCAGGTGGGGGGATAGCTTTGCATTTCTATGTGTGGAATGCAAGTGATATATAAAGTTTTGACTCATGTAATCACACTTCTGTGTCTCAAGCAATGCAGTAGATATATACATGTATATGTATGCACGAGTCTGTGTACAATTATTTTACTAAATAAAATATGAAAATAGTACAACAAATCTTCATTCATGAGAGAGAGAGAGAGAGAGAGAGAGAGAGAGAGAGAGAGAGAGAGAGAGAGAGAGATATATGTGTAAAGTCGCAAAGTACATTTGTATCATTTAAATAGTCATTTACAAAAGCATGACAAAGATGTGTCCAGTTTCTGAAGTACCTATATATCTATTATTTATGACCCATTCACAGGTATAACTTAAACAATGCTGATAAAAAATTTAAGCGTTCATCCCTAATATTTCTTTTGAACTTCCGCGAATTTCAAGTATCATTGTGATAAGCACATATACCACTCGAATCATGGAGATTTTTTCCATTTGTATGTATACTGTTCTGTTTACAATATCTCTCGGGAAATCACGGCATCTTTTGTCAAGGACTCTTTTTTCACTCCCAAGGGGGTCACATGATACAGTTCTGAAGTACATGTACATACTTCTGTTCAAAAGAGTTCGTAATTGTACTTTTAGAATGACTCTCAATTTTTGAGTACATATATATATCAAGTAATTTTCAACTCTTTGTATGTTTCAATGTTTCAAAATGCGATCTTAAATAAATAACCAACAATTCTATCATTCAAGAACTCTTAATTTCGTAACATTTTTCAAAAACTTTTTTCCTAGAATGGATAAATATTCATTGCAGTTGTCCATGCATCTGGAATCTTGAATCGGGATAGGAAATTAATTATTTGATCAAAGTCTTATTAAATTCTTAATCTTGTAGCATGAGATCCCCCACCTCCTGATAGATGTGGATTTCTCTAAGGGACCCAAACACCTCCCCCCTGCTTTCAGGAACCAGCCCCACCAAGAAGTCCCCCTTCTTGTCGACGGTGACATTGTTGTCTTTGAAGCGTGAGTTACTATTTTCATAGGTTATTTGTTTTTAACTCTTATACTAAGATGAAGTATCTCTTTATGTGAAATAGGGATGTTTCTGTTGTGGGGATGGTGACACATACAATAAGTAAGACCTGTTGTCATGTTCTGTAATTTCAGACCAGCCATTTTGAGATACTTGGCAATGAAATACACAGGTTCAGCGGGGTTTGGACTGACTGTACAAAGTCAAATGTTATGCGAGTCAGTAATTGCTTGGTCCTTTGGTGAACTTCTCAGGTACATCAACTATACAATTCATGTATGCATGGTTTTCGTACATGTAAATCATTTGATGTACTTTGATGAATGAAGTATTCAACCGTGACCAAATTATTTTTCTTTCCAGATCAGTTGGCTATACCCACGTGTTTCCCCAATTCTTGGAGAGCTACTCATTTTCTCCTGAATCCGCAAACGAAGCCGTCGTTGAAAAAGGCCTCCGTCAAGTAACAACTCATTTGGAAATCCTTGAAAACAATTACCTGATGAAATCTAAATATTTAGCAGGGGACAAAATGACCGTTGCGGACAGTTGTGTAGCCGCTGTGCTCGTGCTTTTAGAATGGACGGGGTTCAGTTTTAAAATGTGGCCCAAAGTGGAAGTGTGGCTTAAAAAGACCAAGCAACAGATGTTTTGGGACGAAGTTCACACTACACATAACGATTTCGTGCGGGAACTTGAAAGAGCCAATTTGGTACACCGTTGATGAAAGGGGGCCGAGAATATGTCCTTGTTTATTTTATGCCCCTTAAGTTTGTAGGATTTTGTAGTTTTTATGTGATGAGGCTGTCCATGGGTTGTTGCAATACAAACGTTCAAACTATTCAATGTAAAAATTTTAGTTACATGTACTTACTAGTAAAATGTAGTTACTTACCAGATCTCAACGACAGAGGGGAAGGGGAGGGCCAAACACTAGAATTATTTTTATGTAAAATTTTTTATCATGTTTAGCAAAGTTTTATTTATAAGAACAACTTTTTGGTACCAGAACTATATAAACATGTATCTATTATCATTATAGCCACATATATCAATGATATAATTATACTGATGCACAAATTGAGAATTAATGGTTTTAAATTTGAACGAAAATTCTATAATTCCTTTTTTTCCTCTCCATCTTTTTTTTTTTGTAAATTTTAATATAAAAATTTCATAAACGTATTAAAAGGGAGAAAAAACGAGAAGTTTTTTGTTTATTAACACCAATTTATAAGCCATTCTGTGCTTGAATTTTGAGTTGTATTTATAATTGCAAAGAATTGGTGAACTTAAATTGGTAAATTCGTAACATAGCGAAATGTAATTAAGAAAAGTTGAGTTCTTGACAAGACTTTTGAATTGGTTCTATTTCCCTTTTCTGTTGCCCTACTTTCCATATATAATCACACGACCTTAATGTAGAAAAGCAAATTCTTTCAAATTTTAAAAAGGAAAGATACATAATTAGTTCTTAAATTGCTTATTTTGACCTTCAAGACTAAAGAAACACAGGCAATGTAATCGTCAATGTGTATACTTTGAGAATTTAAATGGGACAATCACTTACAGTTTAAATGAAATGTCCTATTTGTTTTTAGTATTTACTATTTATATACTGTCATCTGGCAAGAGATCTAACAAAATATTCCTGTTATTTATATTGGTTACGGACACCTGAATAAAGTATCTGTTTAGTGCATAAGGACTTGTGCCCTCAATTCAAGAGTTTCAAGTTTTAATGTTAGTACCACAGGTGCTTGAGGACAGGAACCCCCCACCCCCCTTTGATATAGACCCCTGGGCCTTTTCGACCTTTTTCTCATAAATCATCTTTCAATGACATATTTGTAATAAAATTTATACCAAAAATTAAAAAAAAAATTACCTATGACCTATGTTTTATAAAACCTGCCCCACATTCTATACATAAAATTTATATACAGAGAGTTGAGTATAAATTTTTAAAAAATGTTTGTTTAAGCAAATTTTCTGAATTGATAGAAAAAATTATTTCACAAATTTGTCATCCATATAATCTAAGAATGGTTGAACTTAAAAAGCTGACTTGCACAGTCAAAAGTTTCTCAACTATTTCTATCTAGCTTTCGCTGAACCTTTTTTAATAAAAAAAATATTTAGTGTATTTAATTAATTTTTTTGCGGATAACTACTGTATTTTGTTCAGAGAAAATATTAAGTGGTAGGTAATTATTTCAGCATGATAAATGTACCATTTAACGTAGATTTTATGATTTCTGAGTTATAAACAATTTTTTACTTCCTAGATGTGTAATATAAATATTTCGATGAAAATACACAATTATGGAATTTAAATCAATATTTATATAGCAATAAAATAACAAAAATTGAAATATTACCTGTATGGGGGATATACTATTTGGCACAATTATTACCATAATGCATTTGAAATGATCAAGTGATATGAACTGTGAAGGATTTTCTAGAATTTTATTGCGGGTATTTTATCAGTATAAAATTCCGTGCAAAGTAATTTAATTTTGAAAGTTACTTAATCTGCATACGACCTACGTAGCACCAAATCCAGATTTAAGTTCTATAATGATACAATTGGTTAGGAAATGGTATTTTATCTGCACCCATTCATGCTCCTCTCAATACGTTCGGATAGAAGTTCCAACAAATGTAAAAGAGAATATTCTGCAAGGGTTTAAAATTAATCTTTAGCTGTTTGCGCTAGAGTCGCGAAGTAAGGAGTAAATCCTACGGATTCGAATCCCTCTGTGGGACGTGGAAACGGGTCCTTCGGATGAGACCGTATAAACCGAGGTCCCGTGTCGCAGTGCTGGCACGTAAAAGATCCTTCCATGCTCAATGGCCCTGAGTGCTGAGTATAGGACAAGATTTGCAGCTCTCCACCGGCAAGTGGTGGCGTCTCCATATGAGTGAAAAATTCTGGAGAGGGATGTTAAACAATATACAATATATCAACTATTACCACCATTGAACAGTGAGGTATCTTTTTCGTGTCAGCACTTAATCACTGCGACACGGGACCTTGGTTTACACGGTCTCCTCCGAAGAACCGGTTTCCACGTCCACAATGGGGTTCGAACCCGCGACGTAAGGATAACTCCTTACCTCTCGACTCTAACGCTCAATCCACTGCACCAAGCGGGCGACGAAGATTTAAAGAAAATAAGAAAGAAAAATGAACACATATTTCAATCCGATTAACTGTTATCAAATGTAATAATTACTAGAGGTACTGTGAGCAATGAGTTCACTAAATGATACCCCGCCTCCCATATGAATATAATGGCAGTGTCCATGTTTTGCTATGGGAAACCCAAAATATGTGTCAAATCATATAATAAAGATTCTTTGAATGATTCATTCATTCAGTGGAATAAGAGGAGTTGCGGATAAGAGATGGGTATCCCAAAGCGTAACAGACGGACGGACAGACAGACAGACGGACATACCGATTACTATATACCCTCCCGCTTTTCAAGCGGGGGGTATAAAAATACACTCAGTGTTCAGTTATTTAAAACTTGTTTTCTCTGATCCATTTGCAATACAATTTCCTCCATTTTATAACATGCTGCATATACTCAGTATACTAGTAAATATGCATAGGTATTTGCTCGACAAATGAAAATTATTGGTTAATATTTCGCTCTACTAACAAATGCTGTCCTTATAATATCAAATATCATTAAACAGTTTAATCCTGGCTGGTAGAGTTAAGAATATTCTCATTCACATAGGCTACAAGACAACGGCCTAATGGCGATTTAACGAACAGCCACAAATGCATGTACCATTATTAAAGAGGGACGCAAACAAATGCATATATAGAATGAAAGAATACCTCTTTTTAAATTTGTACCGAGAACAGATTTCCTTTAAACTTATTGCTATTTGTATTATGGATTAATTTTTAGAATGAAAATCCATTCTACGAAGTTAAACATAGAAAAAGTGGTCTCAGTCTGAAGTAATGATTTCCATTGGATTATATTTCACTGTGATTGTACAAATAAAAAAAAATATCAAGCTTTCAAACCTTCTTTAGTGAACATACAAAAATTGATCAATTATTTATTTTTTTTGCGTAAGATTTTTATACATTTAAGGAATCACTGTCTAGTTAGTGTAGTATGCAAGGGCATCAACGATAGTGGGAAACATGGAATACTTAAGTAATTTGCATAACGGGCGAAGCCCCTTATGCATAAATTATCCTATCCCATGTTTGCCACTATCGTTGATGTCCCTGGCCTACTATACTAACTAGACAGTGATTCCTTATATTTCCATTTCATTATGAAATAAAATTGTAGATTTAGACTTTACAAATGTAGATTGATAGATTAAAATTACATGAGAACTTCCATGCCAATTTCAATAGTCCTCGCCTACTGACTTCAAACACAAAGGCAGCCGCACTATTTACAATAAATGCTAGTAGTTAAATCAATAAAATACATATTCTTTAATATTTATATCACCGGGGAAAATAAAAAGTTTCTCAAGTTAATTGTTTAAAATAATTACAGTATATTTCAAAGTCAGCTAAAATGTGGCTAAAATTGTTTTTATCAAAAATCACACCGTGATATTTACATCCAATGAATATTTTCTCCTTTATTTCTTAAGAAAACCCATTGCGTTAATCACTGCATGAACTACAATCGGCATGTCGCCTGTACAGATTTCTTGGTCAGTGGCTGTTCCATGAAACGTATAAAGACGATCGCATCATTAATAAAATAAATCTTTTTAATCCTACTTTTATTTATAAGCCATTCTGTGTTTATTGATTATTTAAACAGATATAAATATAAACAATAAAATGTCTTTCTTTGTTTGTTATTACTGGAATATTAACGGTCGCAGCTATTGCAGAAAAAATTAACATAACCTGCTCACGCGGTTTATGTATTTTTTCTGCAAAAGCTGCTTCCGTTAATTCCAGTAATAAAAAAACAAAGAAAGAATTTTATTGTTTAAATAAATATAATCCTACACATGAATGTATGACATTACTTTGATGGAGAAAGGGGGAAACCGCCTCGAAAAGGTTTTATTGTATTCCATTATATGAGAAAATAATTTAAAGCTAGCTTATAGTTTTTGTAATTCTTATCTTTCGGTGTTATTGCACCAAACGCCTAAAATTTGCATTATAAAGATGTACACATAACGGGTCAACAAGGGATGCTTACTTTTCCAAGGTACCTGACCCCACCTCTTGGATTTCTAGAAGGTATGTGCTCGCTTCATGTCCTCTTATCATATTTTGTACACAGGTACTTGTGGATAGGACCCCCCCCCCCCCCGATATTCAACCCCGGGGCTTATTGGACATTTTTATCAAAAATTATATTTATGACACTTATTCAGCATGTGTACAATATGAAAAAATCGTCAAAACCCTAAAAAAATCGCTCCACACACACACAAAAAAATACCCCACTATACATTATAAGGGATAACGTATAGAGGGGTATTTTTTTTGGGGGGGGGGTTGACGATTTTTTCATATTGTACCCATGATAAATAAGTGTAATAGATAAAAAAATGTTTAATAAGCCAAGGGGTTGAATATCGGGGGGGGGGGGGGTCCCTGTCCACAAGTACCTGTGATTTTGAATATTGGTTTTAGAATGATGAAATCATCTTTAAAAGAAATTTGCCGAACAATATAAAATAACTTTTAAAAAGTATGAAATTCAAATGTTAGCAACTCGAAAGCTTGCATGCATCTTAATTTTTTTTTTACAATATCCCGGTGCTTATCAAATCAAGCCAAAAATATAACACACTCATTTTTGTGCCTTTCCTTAAGGTAATTAGCGCGATGAATTAAATCACCACATG